ACACACACACACACATATATATATATATATATATATATATATATATGTATGAAGAAGTTTTAGGTATTTTGCGTGTTAGGTATATTGTGTGTTTTGCCAGAAGCGGCGACGCATTTGGAGTAAAAATAACGTTTATGAATGCCAAACTGTTCGTTTGCAATATGCAAGACTTCCGAATTATTTCTGTACGTTTCTCGTAATTGGTTCTTATCAAACTCGGCATAAAAAAATCGGTATTTCAATAATGAGTTATCTTCCCCATTGTCCACATCATGATTCAATGATTAACTCTTTTGAGATTTCCGAATGTATGCACCATTAAACATTTCCAAAAGATTGACATTGAAAATTAGTATAATTAAAAGTATTAAAACTAATCTGCGTTGAAGATACATATGTATATCAAGACAAAAAAGCTTACTATGAACATACTATCTCCACATGGTCTAATGTTATTCTTTTGTTCCACATCTTGAAAGAATTTAGTAATCATTCAATTCTCGTTTTTATTTACCTTTATTGCAACAGACGCACGCGCAGCAATACTCTAATTTCACATAAAATTAATATTAAGGAAGAGCGAGGATAATAAATTTTTCGCTTCAGTCATCATAACAACACCGAATATCATCCACATATCCTGTTCAAAAAATATTCTGAAAAAACATATCAACAATCATACTGAGGAATTCAGAATTAATCACCGATTTTACGAGAATGTCAATGTCTTTTAACAACTGCAAAATACAGTCCAAATATTGTCACCAATTGCCCGATCATTTCCGGATTGATTACTGTTGCAGAAGGGTTACCGTTTCGCGGGAAAATGCGGAAAATGCCAATGATCTCCAAGAGGAAGGGCTGATTTTACCTTTAAGGATCGGAGGACCAGCGTCGCGGGTGGCAGTAGGAGGCCCAAGCCCTCGGGAGACTGCAGCGAGCGCGAGCGGCCGTCTCGCCACCACCGAACTCTCGTCGCTCGTCGTTCCGGTGGTTATTGCTGGCGGGAGCCGGGAGCCGGGAGTCGGGAGCCGAGGCGGTGGTGGTGGTGGTGGTGGCGGCGGCCGACGGCGCTCGGGCGCTGGACGATGCTCCGCTATCAACGCCGCTGTTTAAAAGCATAGCGTCACCGAACTCAAATTAGACGGCCCGAAATAGCGGAATTATTGGCGGCGGTGTAGCATAGCCGGCTTGGACACGGCGATCACGGCATACCGCGGTACCCGGCCTCGGGGAACGAGCGAAATACGGCTCCCCGATACCACGCTTCCGCTACCGGGATGTGCGTCGTGCGACTCGAAATGCGACGACGCCCGACGGTCGTTCACTTGGCATCGGCAAATCGGAGGACATCGCGACGCGCAGAACGTTACAAGTTCTTCTGTGCACCGAGGAAAGTGATGCAAGTGACATGACGTTGTTCGAGAGAAACAGAGAAAGAGAACTCGTGTGAAGATTAAAGCGATCTATGCGCGACGAGGCTACCGTTAACCGTTCACACGAACGATTTGTCGTGCAAAAGGTCTAAGGTCTCTCTGTCCGTTCGCTCCGAGAGCGATTAATTGCGATTAAATGACGTCACTTCGGACAAATCGACCAATATATGTTAATTGCTCGATTTCTCGGAGCGAGCAAACCCGCCGGGCTTAGTCGAAAACGCTTTTGTGATTTTGAATAAATAAATAAAAGATTACAAACGTGTGTATTCATTTAATATTATGATAAAGCGACAATCTTTTTCTCACTTTTTAGATCTTTTGTAAGTCGGTCAAAATTTCTTAAGACTCGAGCGTATACTTCTATTTTCACGACTGTAAATCCGAGTCATCACTGTCATCAGCTGGTAGTATATTCAAGTGGCCAGTCCAAATCGCGCCTGCAGCTATTCGAGAATATTTCGGGAAAGTTCTCTCGTTTGCGTTCGCCGCGAAAGTTATTTCGTTTGCCGGCATCGATGTCACCCGCATGCCATATCTCGCGTGCCAGCGATCGATTCGTGTCCTTATTGCGCACGTCGTCATATTGTGCGCGTCGTTATATGGAATCACTGATGGCCAATTCATCGAATAATAAAAAAAAAAGAACTCAGTAACATATATCGTAGCAAGGACGAGATATCTCATTAATTTTAAACCGACTGTTAATTTTTATATGTATAGTCATATAAGTAAAAAGAAGCGATTATAGCATTATACTGTTGAATTAAACTTGAAGAATGCGAATATCTAACCATATTTTGGTGCCATATTTTGGACTTAATTTCGAACGGTTTAGTCTAACAGACTTTTAATTTGAACCATAATTACAGAAGATATATACGATGCTGGAAATGAAAAGCAGTATAAAACATAAAACTTGTTTAACTGAATCATCCGCCGTTAAAGGCCGACATGATGAGTACGACATTTAATTATATATATTTAGTAAAGAATTGATCGAATTATTCAATACTTATATATATTCTAATCAGTAATCAGACACTAATAAGATAGAAGTTAAAAAGCGAGCGACTGAAGTCGGCCTGGAGCGAACGGCCAACAAAACGGGGGAATCGGATCAGCTGATCCGATATAGACCTTTCTCGTCGAGCCGTTCTCCGTCTCTCCCGCCGCTCCCGCCTTTCTCTCTCGTTCTCTCCCGCCGATGACCATCGGCACCATCGCGCGGTGACAGCCCCACCCGCGGCATCACCTTCTCTTTCTCTCCATCTTTCTCTCTCTCTCTCTCCCGCCGAGGTAACGCACGAGGTCGTCCGTCCGTCGGTGGAAACCGCTTTCCAAGCCTGTTAACCCACTCGGGGGGGCCTCACGGCCCCAGTACACTCGCCGCCTTCGGTCCCACATGTCGCACGGTGCGCGGGTGCGCTTTCGACGTATGCCGCGAGGATTTCGCAAGGCGTTTTGGCAACTCCGACCTTGAGCCCGAACCTGCTGGTCGTAGGTAAAATTCCCCTCGAAGGCAGAAAATCCCTCGTGATTCAAAGTTGCGCGTTTTTTGGGGGTTCAATGGCTACGAGAAATTGCGCTTCTCTAAAATTGTATCGCAAACGAATGTCGTCAATTTGAATCTTCATTTTTATTCGCGGTGATGTCACTCGTAGAGATCCATCATCGGTGTTTCCCAAATAATAAAAAGTTAAAAGGATATCTGAATAAAGTGTCTAGCAACGCCCAGAAACTATCTTCTCAAAGTCTGCGTTGTTGCCTGCGCTTTTTATCGCTAAGTAAAGTCGTACTACTTTTCTTTTTAAATAAAAATGATGGTTGTGTCTTGAAAATAGTATGAAAGTATAAGTACATAGTACGATTCGCGAGGGAAATATTAATAAATATTAATTCGATCGCGTGTAGTCTACGACAAATGTGCTCTGCCGAAGATGGTAATGCAAACAATCTTTTCATTCGAGTGGCCCAGATTCCGGCGAGCCGGAACTAGCTTGATATCCAAGGAAAGATGAAGGGATGGTTCGATGCCTTTCGCAGCGACGGCGGCCCGACGCTCTACAGCTACAGCAACCGCACTCCCGTCACCGGTGACGTGCCCCTGGTTATCGTATTCGTGATATTCGGCACCCTGTTCACCGCGTTTCTAGTCATATTCCCAGGCGTCAGGAAAGAGGTGAGCAGTTTTCCCACTCCTCCTCTCCGTGTGTCGCGTCCGTTCGTGACCGACGGTTTTAAAGTCAATTATACGAGAGTTCTGGCGTGTTCTGGCCGTGTAAAACCTGGTGTTTCTCCCGCCGCAGCGGTTAACCACATTTCTCACGGTTACCCTGAGCCTCTTCGTGGGTGCGACGATTCAAGGTTCGTGCACTTTGTCTACTTTCCCAAGTCAAGGGGCCTTGGCTGCCAGTGGCGTAACCAAAACCGATTCGTCCCGCGAACCTCGAGAGTCGCGAGAGCGACAAAAAGAAGAGAATAAAAGAAATAGAAAGAAAAGAAATTAATAAAGAAGCAAAGAAAATAAAATTATTCAACGGACTCGTCTACATATTTCGTAGCGCTGAATCGCGTTATCTATCCTGCGTTTCATTTTCCTCGACGTGCGATATATCGTTTACCACTTTTAAGCGCGTTGCAGTTCGAAAAATGAGATAAAGAACAAATAATCGAGATCGAAATTATTTAAAATATAGAGTTAAACGTTGAGCAGTTACGCCACTGGCCGCTTGTAGTGTCCGCAGTAAACTGCGTGTTTAACGCTTCTTTGACTGTTAAATAAAGTTGCAAAATCTATCCCCGAGATGATTAATCAAGAATAATCGCAAACGTAACGCCGCAAACGTGCGGAAGAATAACCGTTGTGCTCTCTCTGTGTGTGCGCGTAGTGGCGCAATACGGCTCATCCTGGCATACGAGCTCCGCTACCATTGTCAGCTCTTACAGCGCTTTCTCCAGGCATAAGGCAACGGCCGACATCGGCGGTTACATCGGTTTGATGCACATCAATATAACGTACAGGTGTAAGTTTCAAAGAAAGCTATATAGGGATATCTAAATCTTTTTACACGCGATTCTCTCCTACGATTCAAGATATCGAACTGCGACTGATCAAATCTGACGGAATAAATTTAGAAAATAAGGTTGAAATTTTCAGGTAAAATTTTGCGCGCCGCAAATTGCAATTTTCGAACCAACCCAGGTAGTAAACTGACGTCAAAATGACGTTTTTTATTATTTCAACGTTAACGTAACGACTAAATAACGTTTGCTACACCTGGGAATGTTCGCTACAATCTGTCTGCCTGCGTCAATCAGCAGATTTTATCGTTGCAGTATCGCCAGGTAGCGAGCAGACGAGCGGCGATGTCGAGTACAACGAACGGTTCTGGTGGCGGAGTGCCGGCGAGATGACCAGCGCCTTCAAGCAGGCTCTTTACCAGGGCGCGCCGTTTCCCATCGTCTCCTTGGCGGAGTACTTCAGTCTTCATCAGGAGGGCTTTTCCTGGGGCTCGCGGTATCGCGAAGCTGGATACTACGCCTCGATTATGCTGTGGTATATCACTTCCGATGATGAAGTACCTTTATAGGGGAATCATTTCCAGACTCTTATAATTTTTTTACTCGACGCACGTACGCGAAATGATCAATTTTCTTGCGCAGGACCTCTTTCGCCTCCTGGCTAATGATGAACTTGCTGCTTATGGTGGTGCCGCGGTATGGGGCATACGGCATGATTTTTACGGGTTTGTGCATGCTGCTAACGAACCTGATCTATACGGCACTTTTACCATGCGAGCCTCTGATAGCTCACATCGAGGGCTCGATCCTCTCCTTCAACCTAGGCTGGAACTACTGGTTGGTGCTATCAGCCGGTTCGTGTGTCCTTGTCTTGAAACTATTTGATTACGTCGATGCGCGGATATACATATATGTAGCGATTTTTCTTTTCTTCGCAGGTGCCGCGTGCCTCTTCGCGGGACTCGTAATAACAGCTATAGACATGATCTTTCCTCATCAATTCTCGACCATACTCGAGGTCGACTACGACACGCCGTATGACAGACATGTCATTATAGAGGAGAGTTTCGATACGCGGAACGTTAGGCGGAAAGTCCCCAAGATTGAGGATTCGTTCGGAGATCGAATAATGAGGTTCGCGTTATGTAGCATCTATCAGTCGAATTTAATTGAATTATGTTTCCAGTTCTTGCGTTCTACGGCTCTAAAAATGTTTCAGTCAACTGTCGTCGAAACTTCAGAATAGGCACGCCGCTAAGGATGACACCGAGGGTGTCATTAATCGGGGCTACACGTCGCACGAGCTGTCCGAATTCCCACAAGAAATCGGCGACGAGCCCAGCAAGAGTAACTGGTCATATCCATTCCCACCAGCTACGCGCAGAACCGTTAATGGCTAATACATTTCTCGAACTTTGCGGACAGCTACGGTACTTTCCCAAGCGCCATTAAAAACTTAGATACGCATTTTATTATATGAATATTATTTAATGACATAAAAACTATTTAATGAATAAAAAAGAACCCAAAACAACCCTGACTTGAGTTATTTGCGGAAAGCCATCGTGAGAGCACACACATTCGCATTACAATTACAATTACGAATATAAATGAAAATTTCGTAATAAAATCGTAAAAAATTATAATAAAGCGACTAAGTTTTTCTGCATGTTAGATTCAGGAAGATAAAATAGGGAGAGATTTTTTGTGTGTTCATAAATAAGAAATTTAATACTCATGATAGATAATAAATAGTAAAAAGTAGCGCCTCAGCGCATAAATATGTACATTCTGCAGTAAATCGTCGAGATTCACGATAGAAGGCTGTCAAACACCGTTGACAGTCCGTTATCTCGTGCGAACGGGGAGCACGGTACCCGACTAGCCGAAGTTCTCGAAGTGATGAATGAAGTACGGCAGACGCCGCGTTTTGTTGACCTCGTCGCAGGCCGACATGACGCTTTTCGTCAGAGGACGCGGTCCACAGCTAAATACTCCTATTTTGCTAACCTGCAGATCAATAATATCTCGTTCAGCATATGCGTATTTACAAAAATAATATCAAACGTTATATATCCGAGCCGCGCAAAAGCACGAAGGACATTTTAACTCTTCGGATCTTCTTCAGACGTTCTTTGAGCTTTTGAGCGGACGTTTTTTTTTTTAAATTAATATTACGAACGCACATAGCTGTGTTTCTTCTGAACAAATTTCAGAAACGACGTCATGTCTGGCCGACCGAAATGGTTGATGGCCTTCAGTCCGGTAAATATACTCTTCTTCGATAGCCTCTGAAAGTGATTCTCACATATGTACTACATATGTGAAACAGAATATTGTCAATATAAACATTATAAACGATTAACTTAATGAAGTATAGCAGAAGCTTCGTATGGTTTTTCATCCATCGTGGATGGAGTAAAAGCATTCCAAAATAAATTCACTTACCAGCATAGTAGTACGTAAATCGAACTTATGAAAGAATTGTGTGATGAATATATGAATTTCAAGTACATCCGTAACGTCTTTTCTCTCAACATCTCTGAGAACGTCGATGAACCATTCGAAGTGTTTGTGCGATGGGCAGATCCATAAAAAATAGACCTGCGGGATAAAAAGAAAGTGACACTTTCGGATCTATTAACAGGTGAAGAAACGGGAGCGTTTTCTCATTTTAAATGAGCCGTTAAATTCAACGCAATGAGTTACATATTTCGACGATATTCTAGTTACATTCGCGTTTCTCTTTCGGCAGTGAAACAGACAGAAACTTTCCAGCAATAAAGCAATCGTCGCTTTTGCATCACCTTTACCGTAATTTGCATCAACTTTACCGACATTTTTACATTAATTAATGTTTTTTTAGAAATATTTAGCTTTTCAAACAATTAAAAATACTTAAATACAGTAAAAAAATAGTTAAATACTATCAAAAAGACAATTAAACTACTCCTCAAACTCGAAGATTATGAATTCTTTTAGTCATTTTTTGTGAGAAAATGTTTTATGATAATTTATATATTATATAAAGAACAATATTTTTTATATAAAAAGAAAAATATATTTATATCTTATATGAAGATTTTAAATCTTCTTTTCACTTAACTACCTTTTTCACTTGACTTTTGCTTCTGCACTCACCTTCTTACACGCAACCCCCGAATATCTGTTGGTAGACGTTCCAAACACGAGGTCGTTGAGCATCGAGGCGTAGGGAGTCACCCCGATGCCTCCTCCGACCATCACCGCGACCTCGAACTTGTACCAATCTTGATTTCCTCCACCGAACGGACCCTCTATACGAATTTTCGGACGATCGTCCTCCGGACTGTAATTGCAGGGATCGAAGTAATTACGAAGCTTCCACGTCCACGGTCCCTGAGCTTTTATGTGGCACGACAGAAAATTTTCGTGCGGTGCCGAGGTCAACGTGAAGGAGTGAAACTCGTTGGACCTGAAAGCGGTGCAGGCGAGACGCACCCACTGGCCCGACAGATACTTCAAGTTCGGAGGCCTGTAGAACTTGATCTTAATTACATCGGAGGGTAGTAATTCCGTCTCGATGATGTCCAGAGCCATATATTTAGTTCGCAGACTGACGACCTGAAATCAATCGATATTATCGATACTAGGCACTCGGCGTTATTTTTATCGCGTTATTAACGGATATTGGATTATTTTAGATAGCAACAGGACACAATTTGCATTAAACAAGAATGAAACGCGTAACATACGAGATTTGTTACATCATACATCCATGCATAATTAATAAAGTTTTGTAATTACATGTGATTACGAATGTCGTGGATACATATGTAAGCTGTACTTCTGCATGTATATACAGAAAGTAGGGAGTTATTTTTTTTTCTTTATCACTATTCTACTTTCAGAGAAAAACGTATATAACATTACTTTGTCCAGCGCATAAATGATTGCCGGGCCGATAAAGAATATCCAGAATCGCGGTGAGCCTGTCAAACGGGCCAGACCGTGGATCAGGCAGAGTGCATATAGGACGACATACAGGCTATGTGTCGACCAAAAGAACTTGTAGGCTTTCTGCCGTATAGTCGGATGTGCAAAGACGAAAATGATCGTCATGATGACGAAGAGAAGAATACCGGTTAAACCTGCGAAACAAGGGAATCATTAATGCTTAGGATGTCGAACAAAATTGCAAAATCTTTGGCGAGAGCCAACTTACCGGTCACTGTTCTGAACAGCCAGAAGGAGATAGTAGGCCGCGCGTCGCTGGGAAAGCTGATTTCACTGGTGAGGCAGCGAAGATGCGCTATCGGCTGCGTAGAAACGTGATAAAAGTTGACTATGTGACCAACCGTATGCAGCACGGAAAAAAAAAGTGCCGTACATGCTGCGATCTTATGAAATTGTATATGCGAGTCCAGCGGAATGTACTGCTGGATCGAGAATTCCTTCAGTTTCGTTAACAAATTACGCGACATCGTCAATAGCAGAAGACTGTAGCAAAAGGACAGGGCGGCCGCTGATCCTCTGGTTATGGCGATTCCCACGCCCATTATGTGCCTGAGATCCGTATGTTCTGCCATAAAAGAGTAATCTGCGAAAAAGAGGCAGAAAATTGGAATCTTGCGATAAATGAACAGAATGCTCTTCGAATATTTAAAGGATGTCTTTTAAAAACTTTGAGGAAATTAACGTACGTTTTAATGTACGTTCAGATATCTTTCTTTGTTAAGTTTCTTATTTAGATTTCTGACTAAGTACTCACGAATAAATCTCTCAACGAAGAGAGCTATGGTGACCACGTAGAAAACGAAAAGGTAGAATATGTTTTGCCTATTCTCTTCGAGGAAAGTCGATATGGCATCCCACTGCTTACGCGTCCAGCTCTTCGAATCCTCCGGCGGCAGTTGATCGATGTGAAAGCTAGTCATGCGAGCGACATTCGTCGATGTGTCGAGAAAATTCTGCTTGGCGCCTTTGCAATCGAGACCAATCGCAACGAAGTCACCTTTGTACTCCTTCATCATCAATTTAAAATCATTGTACGTGAGATAGTCCTTCCTCTCGAGTCCGGCATCCTGATCAATGAAGAGATTTATTATCGCGATGGTAACAGAAGGTATGTACACTTCGGAGAACAGAAAATCCATGATGAAGTGAAGAAAAAACGCACCTGGAACATGCCGTCGATCAGTTCCGTGACGTGATCATCCGAGAGACTCGTGGTACGGGCTATTTCCACGAGCGACCTCAACATCTCCGATAGCTCTTCCTTGTCGATCACGCCGTTGCTATCCTTATCGCACATATCGAAGATGATGCGCAGCTTGTCCTCGGTTTTGCCGCGCGAGAACAGCAAGACCGTGTCCAAGAATTCCTGGAATTTGAATCGTTCTTCGTTGATGATCGTCGAACAAGAACGAAAGTTATGAGGCAAAATGGTAAAAGCGCGCAGCTTCAATGAAGCGAACGACGATTATACCTGGAAGGAGATCCGGCCGTCGCCGTCTTTGTCGACGATGTTGAACATTTTCTTCACGAAGACCGCGTCGGGCCGCATGCCGAGAGCACTCGCGAATTCGCTTTTGGAAAGCGACGTGCGCATTACCGTGACGACCTCCCCGGTGTCACTGTCTTCGGATCGCCGTCTTCGTTCGCCGGGCCGTAAACCGAAAGTCAACGCGTACGCTTCTCTGAAGAACTAGAAACATTTCGCGATGTTATCAAGAACGTCATAAATCTTCCATATATGCAATGAATACTCTAAATACACTTGTTACTTGCAGTAAGAAGTAAAATGAATTATACGGTAACTGTATATTCTCACGCATACGTAATAATACGTTCATACTCTTCTTTTCCTTTTTTACCAATTGAAAAATTACTACTGTTATTCCTTCCTGAGGTGTTAATCAACCTTTTGATGTGCTAAACGAAGTTGCGTATGCATTCATAAATGTGTACACGGGAGAAAGAAAAACAAACCTGTTCGAGCTTCTTTTGCCGGCGCTCCTTGGTTTCCGCTTTTGCCAGCATGATATCCCGGGCGACTGGCGTGAGTGTGAAATGCTTTTTTTGCGACGCCAGAAACGCCTCCAATTTCGCAATGAACTTTCTACGCGAAGCCAACGAATCGAGTTCAAGGACAAGGTCGTAGTCGCGCGGTATACGTAACAGCACTAGGGCCTTACGATGTCCGGTTTCGCTCTCCTGGAACCGCGATTAATAATTATCGGGTGCACAGCGTGACGTTAAAGAGTCAGCTCTTACTTAATGAAGCGTAAGATTAATTTGCGATGTGATTTCGAGTATTCGATAAAATGCAATTGATTGGATGATGCGATTATTAATTTCGAGATTTAATCGTTGTCATTTTGGATTGCTTGATGAGAATAGCGCAGTTGTTATTGTGCAATATTCTTCAATAATAAATTATAGATATATCTTTTGGGAATAGCAAATATTTATCTATTTGTATATTTATTCTTGCGCGTTTTTTCTTAAAAATTCAATATCTTGATAATTATACATGTCAAATATAAATTTAAAGTTAGATGAAGAATAGGTATTGCATTCAGAAAATTAATTCAAGAAAAATGCCTTATTTTATAAATTAGCCAAAAGGTTTAGTGATATATAGGTTTTTTAACATGTCGCTGAAAAAAAATATCGTTTATTTTTACAATCACAAGGAGGTACCTGCGACTCCTCCATAGTTATGGTGTTGACGCCGCTGAAGTCAAACGTGCGTAGTTTCTCCCCCTTCCGATCGACGATGTGCAACGCCGCTTCCGGTCCGAATTTCACCTTTACGAGACGGCGATGGTTCGCGTGCAACCACTCGCGTACGATCATCTTATCGACGCAGATCCGGCCATCACTTCGCTTCTGAATCGCCTCTTGAAGTATTTTCAATCTGCGCCGCCGTCTGTTCTGCAGTTTCACCAATCCGTACCCGGCACCGGCACAAAGGATCGGAACGAATCCAAGAAACACGCACGCGTAGATGTAGACGAGTTCGCTACCCTATGGTACATACATATATTTCCAAAAAATTGTGCAAAATGGTCTTTCTTCGCCCAAGAATCGCATCTTATTCAGTGTAACAAAAATGGAATGTCAGAGAAGCTCGCAATTGCTAAAACTTGATATTCTACAACCGCAATTTAAAAGAAAAAGAAAAAAACGGAATAAAATTATCTGAATTCAATCGCACAAATCAGAATATTACAGAGGTCGTTTTATCTAGCGTAAAGAAACAATAAAATATCAGAAGAGCTCTGGAACAGCAATTAAAAGCAAAAAATTAGATTATTTTGATTTAATCATAAAAATCAGGATATTAAAAAAGATGTCCGCGCAAGATAACAGGTGAGAGGTAAGTTGAGTTGTTCCTTGACACGATCGACCGTATCTCTTAAAGCTGATTACCTCAAAGTAATCGTAGCGCTGTAGAGGGACGCAGGGTTCGAGCATTGTCGAATTCAATTGGAATGGCTGAGGACACGGGTCACCGTCTTGCCAAACGAACACTCGTCTTTGGATCGCATCGGGCGGTATGCTGGTCGCGTTCGTGATCACGTCCCAGAGAGTGATACGACGGATTTCCTCTATCTCGTTTTTCGCGAAAATGCTAAAATTGGATAAAATCGCGCGTTAGAGAGTTCCTACAATTAAGTCAATCATCCATATCTCTCTATATTTCTATAATTTATTTCACAAAAATTGTAAAATATAGACGGTTCCTTCATTACGTTCCGTTTTGGAAGAAAGATAATCGATGCACATAAATATTAACGTAATCGTTAATAAGAATTCACTCACCCGTTTTCCTCGTTCTCGAACCAGAACCTATCGGAGTCCCGTAAACGAAGAAATTGTTCCTTTATAACCGCGGTGAAAAGCTCTCCGGGACCGCCCTTGGACTCGAGCATCCCACCGACGTAAACATCAACGTTGTTGAGATTATTCGAGTAAATTTCGATGAGGGTACGTAGCAGCGACGGGTTTTTATTGAACAATTCCGGATTAATCTCGTTCCACGTTTTCCGCTTGGCCAGCTTGAATCGCGCCCTGGCTGTATTGTAGTCCGGAAGACCGTTGTCGCGACCTCGCATGATGTTCAGGGCGCCGAGGTCTCGGCGCGAGAATTCCATGGGGCCAAAGAGATTGTTTCGGATGTCGGTACCGAGAAGATTGTCCTCCTTCTCCGCCAATTGCGACGCCATCCCCATGATCAGCTCCTCGATCGTGCTGTTAGCTAAAACCTCCTGTGAGCAGCATCTATACGTTTAATACGATCACAAGCCTCGTAAGCATTTAGTCTAATAAATTAGATCACGCAGAATGTTCTAGAGCTTGAAGCTACACCCTAATAGAAATTTTAACGAATTAAGCGAATCGATTTCTCTTATAATTAGAAGGAAAGTTGTCACGCGAGGAAAATCGTCATTCGAATCGTTACAACTTTTTAAAATCTCCTTTTAAACATCTTGATAATTTGTTCTATAGGTAAAAAATTATGAGATTAAAATAATCGAAAATTATTAGAAAAGATTTAAGCGTTAAAATAATTTCAAAAAAGTGTTTAATAATTATTTAAAATTTATACCGACAATTAATATAGTACAAATGAGAATTATCGCAATAATTGATATGATTAACGGGTATAAAATATACATATCTTTCGAAAAGTTTACGAAGTGTGAGAGAATAAATCTTTAGGTACACTCACGTTCGAGTCCCACCATGTAGAGCAAAGTCTCATAGCTGGCTGGCCTGTGTTGGTCTTCCTGTATTCGCAATTTTCATTTCGCCGATATATGCCCGGCGGTATAAGAGTGTGACCGAATCGAAAAGCGGCACTTTGGAAGATATGACTAATACCCGGATGCAGATCTGGTTTATAACCGGTGTACGATGGCAGATCCTCGTTTAGCAATGCCGGAAGGTACTCGTAAAGGATTATGTTCTATAAAAAGATAGAAAAACTTTACGCGCCGGGAAGCAGTGAAATTTTGCGAGTAAAAAATGCAAATTACGTAAATTCCGCTACGATTCGAAACGACTCCATTCAACAATTCCATTCAAGACTTTTCGAAAGCTTATCAATTACATAAAACTGACTTTATTTCTGTTTGTTTTACTCTTTCCGCGCTAGCTAAGGATAATATCGTCTTTATTATTTACTGCATATCTTTGAGAGAAAATTAGAGGTGAGCTATTATCTACCTGAATCGCCCCGACGACCATTTGACGTCCCCTCTGAAAAACTTCTTCGTCAGACATGCCGGGATGTTCCTTCTGTACACGAGCCGCTATGACATTGTGATACCGATAGAACAAGATACCCAGGGCCAGCAACGGCGGGTGCTGATTCGTTCTCGGATCGCCAAGGACTGCGCAATATAATTAATTGTTAGGCCACTTTCGCAAGTCAGAAAATTGATTGCGGGGAAAGTTAAAACGCGCGACGTAATAGGACGGGCACGAGCGCGTGCGGTTAATGCACAAAAATTACGAGTAATAATGCAAAAACAGCCGCAACGGATCGGCGCTCGATAACGATCGTGAATAATAACATAATACTTAATTAGTGAGAAGACTCGAATTATGTAAGCGTTGAACGACTACTAGATGGAACACGTTGCTAAAATGTTGCGAGAAAAGGTATTGTTTCAATGATAAAGTGAATAGCCGAAGAAATTACATTTATATCGGACTGCCACGGATTTGCACCTTCGTTTCGTATATTTAGCCCTTAAATGCGCAATTTTTCGTAAATATTTCTGAATATTTTTAAAATAAATAATGACTGCTTAAGAAATCCTAAAAAAAATATTTAAAAAATAAATCTTTTTAACTGTTTGAACCGTTTTTGTTTTAGCAGACAACCAATAAAGTACATGAAGAGAAGGCCTAGATGTGCAAAACCGTGAGTTTTCAGTTCGAACTTCATAAGAGAGTATCGAAAGTCACTTTGCATATATGCAAAGATGCGCGCTTAAGGGTTAATAGGCGGAATAAGTTTTTTTCCTCACAACAAAGATGTTGAAGTATCGATATGATTAATAAGCAAGTGAAGACGAAGACTTCTCGCCAGTTAAACTTTCTAGCTGGTAACGAGCGGCACAATTGCTCCAACAGAATGTTTTCCATTACCAAATGAATTTGTTAACCAAATTCTTCTCACATCCCGATCTCAATTCAACCGAGAGATACCTTAATGTCGAATAATGAAAGGTGAGGAAAGTGTTACGGCGTGCAATTAAAAATCAGTTAGATAATAATCAGCTCGGGCGGGTATACGCGGTTACGAATTTCTTGAGAAAGTCTTCGGGGCTATTTATAAGGCTAAATTTATACACGTAGGTATATCCTCGCTTACGATATAGGCGCTCCGGGCTGAGCATTCGCATAACGTGCGGCACGGCGTGATTGAAGAGGGGCGCGCGCATGGTGTTCCTCACGGGGAATTGTCTTGTCTGCTCCATGAGAAGGCTGCCGTTCACAAACGCGCGCATTGTATTGGCCCACGCCTCGCTGCTCGAATAGACGAAGCTGCCATCGATCCAGCTCGTGACTTTATTTATCTGCAATCTCACGTATTCAGAGCTACTTCTCACGGATCACTCTCAGGGATCGTCGGAGCGTTTAACGATCGAAGAAAAAAGAAAAAAGAAAAGGAAAGAACCCTGGAAAAAATGTCTTAAATTTTCTCAGAAATTTTGGAAGAATTGAGACTTATAAAAAATCCTTAAAAATATATCAAATTTCTTAAATACTTTCAGAAATGATTGGATAGGGATTTCCGGAGTATTTCAGTATCCGTACATAAAAAAATTTTTGATAAATTGCACAGATTTTCTCATATTTATTAAGATTTCTACAAAGATGTGTTGGTGAGAAAAATCTGAAATGTTTTATTCTTATTTTGTCTAAGTTTTTCTGAAAAACGTGTTCCAATTTGTATAAAAAAATCTAAAAAATTCTGAGCATTCTGAGAAAGTGAAAATGTTTATAGAAATTTTGATTAATAATATATGAAAAATTCTGAGACATTTTTTCATCAAAGAAAAATAAGTAAAATAGAGTTTCGCAACAAGAATCCGCCGTGGTATTCAGTGATAGTATCAGATCGTTTAAACGTGACTGTAATTTAGATAGAGATCGATTCAAACGTTCGATATCGTTATCATAACCGGCGAAAGTCAGATAAAGTCGAAAGTCAGCCGCTCCCGGAAGTAAAACCCGTAAGAGCCGTAGAGCGATCCGTAGAGCGAGCGCGGCGCGAGGCTGACCAGGTGCCGCTCGAGAAAACTAAACCGGGAATTACCTGTTCCCGTGGACTGTTGGGGCTGCGCCCGGTGTGACGGTCGTAATCCGCTCGCAGGAACGGAATGTACTTGTTACCTTGGCACTCCTTGTCGAAAACCGGATCGCATTTGTCCACGTCGATCCGATGAAATTCTATGGGGCAACCACTTTCGCTGGCCATGATTATCTCCGACGTGACCAGCTGTCCTGAAAAGATTCACCGTACGAGGATGTCGCGAGTCGCACGAGTTCCGGCAGGGAGATCTACGGCCTACGGGCTACGAGCATGTCGCGAGCTCACCCAGATTCTAGACTGGTTTATATAATATCATATATTTCGAGGCAACGTTGACAGACTTGGCAATTAACTGTGCCCGTCCACTCGCATATGTCCACCTTTGGACAAACGGAGGATTATGTACGAGGCGAGTAACACAGTACATATGCTGCAGATAAAATCGTACGATGACGAAAAGCACGATCGTGACATGATTAATGGCAATCTAAGTATAATCAATTCGTCATTACAATATATATCTTATTGTTAAGCAAATTTTGTTACGGGATATAGATTAAAAACGTAGATATCTTTTCCTGACAGAATTTAGCACCTCGCTTCGCGTATATTTAATGCTTAGCTAAAATTCTCGAATTATTTCTTTTACACACACATAAAAAGATCACTTCTTTTAATTTTTATTTATACTAACAATTTTTAAATATGTATTATCGTTACAATAGATTCTTTGGGTAAAATGAAACAAATTTGAGTATTCATTCTCTAAAAGCTCACTTTACAAACAGTACTTTACAAATAAAATATTAATTATTCAACAACTTTTTCTACTGCCTCTTTTTCTGTACTGATAAAAAACTACTTATATTTTCGGGTCTGTATTCGTGAATTTCCGCTCTTTGTCTAACTCTACCTGTATTATTATCCGTATTAATTATCCTCACCGAAAAAAGCGAACAATGCGGTTCGATTTTTCACCGACGGCAGACCATCGTCACCTTGCATGAACAGGTCGCTCAGCTTCCGGGGGGATGGCCTGTCTTGGCCAGCCATCGCGTACACACCGTCGGAATATGCCGCCGGGACTTTTCGGATTAGCCTACTATCTACGGAGGTACGTGTGAGACACGTATTAAAATAACTTTCAATAGGAAAACCACCTTCGCCGTGTCACACATAATCGCAGGGTCGTCACTTACTTGTCTCATCAACTCTTCTAAAAAGTATTTTTTGCGTCACCCCGTGAGTGATTAGTTTTCACGCGTCCTCTCTTACTCGAACCTTGTCTTCGATATAAAATTGACGAAGTACGAAGCGTATTTAATTATACAAATGTATAACTAATCTTAAGAGAAGTCTGAAGTCTCCTGTATCTCGTTGAGAGTGTCGAGTTGCAAAAGCCATGTTAATGAATGTTAATAAAAAATTCAGTAAAACATAATAAAATTCTAATGACTTATTAAGATGCTTCGAGAAACCTTCGTCAGCAAATTTATTCAGTGAGAAAAAAAAGAGACGCGTGGAGTTTTTTTAAGTGATAACCCTGCGTGCGTGATAATAAAACAGCGAAGGTACTTGACTTTCAGTATACAAATTCGAGTACTTGCCGATTGCACCCCAGTCAGGATGGATCAGATTGTTGTAAAACCCATCGTATCTCTGTTTGTTGTCCGCGTAGTTAGGCCCCGCTCCTAAAACAGGCACACTTTATATTAGGTAAATCCGTAGCCTTTATCGAAGCCTGAATTTTGCAATATTTATTATCGGGCAAACAATCGATTGCCAGCATCGTGTTTAGATCGTGAAAGTTAATAATCGTCTAATAGGCCGACGAGCGACGAGTTCACATGTAAAATACGGCTTCTAGGTGTCTTAATTATTAGAGTAACGTTCTCCTGCTTCGAAAATGTAATTAGGATATTTAGGGGCGGTATAAAGCGCGCAGGACAACCGAAAGCGGGTCAAAAATATAAAACGAGTTTAACGAGCTAGATCTACCGTAAAATATGACTTTTTTCTCTCTCGCGTTTCGCGTTGTTCCCTAATAACTTTCGTAAATATCTGAATTTAAATTGACACGGATATGAAATGTAGGCGCTATTTTTTTGTCGTTAGATCCTTCTCCAAATTCGTTACATCCCGTGTTTTTACGTATCAATTTACTCCTACAGTTCCACAGATGAAACTTAACAAATATGATTGATTTATTTTAACATAATTCAAATAGTGCATACACAATATATTTTATAACAATAAATGTTAAGAATAATTATTAAATTTATTATTAAATTATATAAATTTTTCTTTATTTTTATAATATTAATACAAATATGATATAATTATATTGGAGCAGAAAATTAAAAAATATGGAGTCTTTCACATTTCGATCGTTTCCACAGCCCCCCTTCTACGGGTAACAAGATTTATGGCCGCGACGGCCCGCGACCACTCGTGGCCACAGCACAGGTACTTATACCGGAACGATAACGGCGACTGTACTTACCGGTTTCAGCGGGTAACACGAGCCAGAACGCCCAAGCGATCGCGCAGAGCGGCGCGATGCTGCGGGCCGGCGCGGGCGGCCGTCGTCGTGTCATCGTGTGTCACTCGCTCTCTCCTGGTCCACGCCCGTGCATTTCTCTCATGCCAAGAATGCCAAGATGCGTCTTCCTCTTCGCGCCCTTCGACGATCTCTCGCTCTTTTTCTCCGCTATCAACGGTGTCTCCGGGGACGCATGCCGTTGGCACCGTCTATCAGCGGAGCGATACGGGAACGTGCCAGGCGCGGTCGTGCGGCACATACGAATCTTCGGATTCACCTGAGACGCGGACCGGTCCAGAAGCTGCCGAACTGCTGAAGGCGCCGAGAAGCACAGCGGATCGCCGATCGTTCGCTACCACCTGATCGCGCCGGAGGAGAGAGAGAGCTCACCGCGCGCGAGAGGTACGAGGTGCGAAAAATGCCACCGTACGATTTTTCGGCCGGCCCGTGATGTGGCCGATCACGTGTGGGGCGTGGGGTGTGGGCGTGTGGGCGCGCGGATAATAAGAGCCGAGAGGCGAAGGAGGGAACGGAGAGCACTCGCGCTAACGGAGCACCACGTGCTTGGTGCTTGGTACCAACAAGTGAGATCACCATCCGCTCATCCTCGCAACGGGCCCCGTCGAGGAAACGGACGCCGAGGGACGGACCTCGCGACGAGGACGTCGAAGACCGAGGAGCAACGATACGACGCGACGGTACGCGCGCGCGGGCCCCCAAGAACGGCTTGCACTCCGCAGACCTGTCTGACTGTGCCGCTGCTGGTCTGCGCGCCTCCGCCACCACGCACAGCCGCCTGCCGCTCTTGGTCGCGCGGTGAAAGTCGCCGGCCTATTTGTTTCGTTACCGCGAACGCGCGCCTCCTCCTTCTCCTTTTCCTCCGTATCTGTTCCCTCTCGCCGCCTCCTCCGCGGGCTACGGCCGCTACGGCTACGGCGTCGTCGGCCTCAGTGTTCTTCAACCGTTTTTCGTACGGCGACTTTTGAGTTTTGGAATTGGAGGTAGGATCGAAAGGCGCGACGGCGTTCGCACTCGACGGCGTCCTGGGCAGACGTCCTTAACTCATTAACGCAATTAGTCGATTCGAAGATTACGTAATTTAATTTTTATTGGCGCGCCCAGGTCCTGGCTGAAGAATTTCAACAATTAAAATCTCGAATTTCAATTTTAATTTGGGGAGTCTCGTCCGCGAGGCACCGCGAAAGCCATTCCCGTTGAACTGCCGGAGCCCGATCGAGGCTCCGACGGATTCATCGCCGTCTTTAGAAACGTACAATCTACTGTTTCAAGTAACGCTCGCGGGAACGGCATTCAAGGAGCGTGGATCGCGGTGTACTTACGATCCCACGGTCGTTGAAAAACCACTGTAATACATCGAGGCGCGATGCGGCGCGACGACGCCGACGTCACGTCACCGCGGGCGCAGGCCTAGTTTTCGAGTCCGCGGCACCGATTACCCAAGGCGAAACCTCTCTCGAGTCCCCGCGCCGGTCGTTTCAAGGTCGAGCGACGTCGGATGGACGGTGGTCGGTGTGTGTGTGTGCTGATGCACACGTTAGAGACGACACGGAGGACACCGGCACGCTCGCATAATTAACTCGCATTCCCCCCGGCCGACTTCTTTTTTTCCCCACTTCGGCGGCCGTTCCTTCTAAGTGAAAATGAAAAGAAAATCTATGTCACCGATGCGCGCCGGCAAACGGCGATCGGAAGGAATAGGACAATATGCTGATACATGTGACGCGTACAGAGCCGACTTATAAATAAGTTGACTCTGTACTGATGTCGGTACGTTAAATATTATATTTAACGAGCAAATAATGTTATATCTAAATGACAGAAGGCTGAAAGGAGTTTAAATAAAATTTAAAATGTCCTCAAGAGTGTTCTTATATAAATAGGCCGGTATTCATAATAAGATCTTATTTCAAGACCGTCTTAAGATGCTAATACGGCTCTGTGATTGGTAATCTTAAGTACATCTTAAGATTGTACTTAAAATGGTCTTAAATATAAGACTATGAATACCGGCCTATAAAATACGTAATGATAATTATCGCGAACAATGCGATTGTATAGTGCGGGATAATTACTATTACGAGTATTACGTGTCTTAATTGTAATTAATAGTACGCCCGACGCGCACTCTCATTTCGAAACCCTAGATGCTTGGATTTCAGATCCCGATTTTTCGTAATATAATTTATAGGAGGCTTAATTAGATCCCGCTTATCGGGATCCGGGAAGATTCGGCGATGATGCTGTCGGCGGCCGAGCACGAAAGATGCGCCCGATGGCGGCGTATTCGCATTATGACTCAACAAACGGAGAGAAATCGCGTCTACTGTTCTCGACTGCTGGCCGATCTTTTATCGCCCTTGACACAAATCGGCGCTCGCAGATCAGATCACACGCATTTATTGCGTACGGTACGTTCATTTCGCACGCAGCCGCTTCTTCGTTTCGGAAACGCCGAGGTCCTTCACCCTCCTAGCTCCCGCGCGAGTCAGACGACTCCTCGACGCGTTCGCGGAGAATGAAATATCACCCACATAAATTACAACGAGTCCTCGCTGGGATTTCCCTGACCTTGTTGTTCAACCCTAAGAATGGATTATCACAGAAACTCCGTCGACACGTGTAAAAGAAGTTGTTTATTCGTATACCATCGTTTGCATACAGAATTATCGAACAAAAACTTCCGTTTCGTGGAAGGAACGAGATCATCGCGAACCGTTCGCGATCGTTGTAAAATGAAGAAAAAAAAAGTACAATCGTACTTTCGTTCGTGTTTATTGTCGCGTCAAAAGGCATTGACGTGCCCGCATTGAGGCGCTCTCGTTAGAAAACATTTCGTTTCGGTACAAGTACTTGTACTTAAGTACTTGTCTGTACTGTTAAATACTTAAAATACACCCGTGGTTTTGCGCAAATCCACTCGGACATGTTCTGGACGGAGATACCGTGGGTGTCGGGTGGCGGTCACTTGGAGTTCGAGTTCGAGGGGTAGTAGTAAACCACCGCCGGCGCCGGCAGTTGCCAATGGGCGGCGTGGAGTTCGATCAGTTGCAGGAGCGTCCTCTTGACCGGCGGCGGCGTCGTATCCTCCGCCAGGAAGGCGTCACGCACGCTACCGAGGAGCTGCTGCAGCTGCGCGGGCAGCTCCGCGTCCAAATCCTTACCGATGCACGTGAGGATGAAGAACAGACAATTCGTCTACGGTACAGACGAAGAGAGAGATCAGCTCCCATCGAGTTTCAACAAATTTTGATTCAGAGATCGGCTTGTAGCAAATCGAAGAGTCCAGCGTGAGAATGAGATAAGTTCATATTTATCTTGGATATAATTTCACATTACATCTTATTACGGTTTTATCTCATATCTCCGCTGAACTCTGTAATTTTCACTCAACCCGGGAATAGATTGCAAGGAATTTGGATTAAACTAAGGATGAAGGAGCAATGAATTGTTTTGCTGTCAGCCAATAGCTTTGTTTCACGACACTCGCTGATTGAACTTGTATTGTTAAATTTGTGGAGTCAAATTATGCTCAATTTCAGTCATTTTTAACCATTCTTATAGGTCGTCCTTACTTCTACTCAATATGTCGTTAATTTGAATAAAACAATAGAGTTAAAATAATACTGTTTTGTGTTAAAAAAGTAATAAATTTCTACACATATGGTAGTTAAAAGTGACAAAATATTACTTAACTCAAGGTATTAATTTAAATTTCATCCTTTAATGGTTCAATATTTAACAACGCAGTTTTACCTCGGCGAGCGAGTTGATGGCCGGCGGTTGCAGACAATCCTGGCAGCATTTCCAAAGCAACGTGAGGAGCACGCGTCCGGGAGGAACGCCCTCCTGCTGCGTCTTCAATTGTAGCTGCCGTCGCTTCAGCTGAAACAACGGGATTATGCACATTTATGCGGGTATACTCGAAAGCTTAGCGCTGTTGTAATACGCGGTAAGAAGACAAAAAAAATGGCATACAATAATAAATGATCGAAACAAACACTAGATGCGTTAAATCGAGAACTTTGCAACCGCTTCTGTTCGCAAGAAATATCGTTAAAGTCGTAATGAGTCGATGTGCGTTTCTTACGGAGATAATGGGCACCACGTAATAAAACGTGTCATTATGTGCTTAGTTATACCTGGCAATACATCTCGTTGAGAAACGTCATAAAGGCTGAGTACCGATGGCAGGTCGTGCCGTCGTGCAGTAATCTAGCGCGATCCTGATACCACTGTTGGCACGTATTTAGCAGAGATTCCAGGAAAGTTTCCTTCGTTTCCTTCTGTACATGAAACGTATTTTAAGTTATACAATATTTCATCTTGCGTGCGTCACACGAAGATCATCGTTTAAATTGGAATACTACTGTTTGCGCCATTTTTTTAGATATACATAAAATAAATCGAACATCAATATTTTTAAATTTACTCCTTAAAAATAAAAAAAAAGTAATTTTTCAGATATTTTTTTTCTTAGACCATGTTTTTATTTCTTTTACATTTAGTTTATTTAAAAAAAAAAGCAACGAATGTTCTTCGATCTTTTCAATTTTACGAAAGAATAACAAAAGAGAAATAACGAACCTCTATAATCGTGATGCAAATTTTAGCTGCCGGTTCAGCATACTTGCGATTCTCCACTACCCTGTCCAGAATGTGCCGCACTAGTTCCATCAACGTCCTCGCATTTAAGAGATTCGGATCTGTCAAAAACACCACATATCCGCGTCAGCGCCAATTATACTTTCAATAATTTTCTAATCGTTTGTTAAATTCTTAATTGCTGGTTAACTTTCGATTATTTTATTGTCAAAGAAACCATGTAGTTAGGAATAATATATTTTGCCTGCTTTTATTGAATTCTCCTGTGACGTATAGATCATGCCATAAAGTATGTCTAATTCGATCAGAGTAACATGGTTTACTTAAATCCTTAGCTTAATGGATTCTAGTAACTGATGATGGACAGACTCTTATACCTTCTATCGCTCGTAGAAGTATATCTTGAACGGGCGAGGGGAATTTCCCAAGTTCAGAGGCGTCCGCGATGTGGAGTGCCTTGGCGGCCAACACGTCTGTCGAGTTGAAGCTCTTCGAGCGCTTCAAGCCGTAAGTCGATACAAAGGTATGCGATTTGGTAAGCTTGCCCGGTTTCACGGAATTAGTCTTCACTTCGTTTTGGTCCACGTTGAAGTGTACCCGATTCGCTACCTGACGGGGCAAGGTAATTTTTCATCTAAACCCAAGAGCTTCTCGGCAGTTAAGTTAATGATAAGTTAATGACCGCTCTGCATTAAATCCTAAATTAAACTGAACGACCGCTCCGCAGTCAATCTATTTTTAAAAAAAAATCTCTTCTTTAATCTTTCTTTTTTAAATCTTTTTTTTAATCTTAGGCACAGTTCGCGTCTTTCTTACGTGTAAAATGTTTCCGCTGGAAGCGGACATGTCTAAAGGATGAGGCTGACGCAACGTGGAGTTCGCTGTCGAGTGATGGCCACTCTGAGAATGACGGGACGGTAGTTGGTGCTGTTGCTGCAGAGGATGTTGCAGCTGTTGCTGCTGAGCGTAGAGATACCGATGGATATTACCGCTCGATTTGCTGTGCTGCAGATAATAGCGCTCCGATGCATTAGTCCGAGACCTAATCGAGACACATGTCCGTTCATACTATTTACAGATCGATCCAAATTCAGAATCGTGCCTGAAATCTTGCATTCCAGGCGAAGCGTGCGTTCGATCAATCAACTTTTGTTCAAAAACGCTCCATATATTCACATTATTATTAATATCGTTATAATCTTCTCTATACCTTGAAGACTTAACATTACAGTTAAAAGAAATATTTCTTATTCTAATCTTTTCTCATGAAAAAAATTGAAATCGATCACTTCACTTTACCATTACATCGTTAAACTGAAAAATTCAAGTTGTTCTATTATTTATATAATTAATATTAAAATCTGTACAGCTTTCAGAAACAGCCTCGTGACTGTGATGGTACGCTATTTAAATATAGTCCACTGGTTCGCACTCACTTAGACGTATGCGAATCATTCTGCTTCATCGTGAATTCCTTGGCGTGCACGTTTAGTCGAAGATTAGTGACGTTCGCCGTGGTTCCTTCCGCTCTCCCACCTAGAGGCGGCCGTGAAAACAAACGGGACGACGTCCGTGTGCAGTGATAAGATTTACGATACGTATGCTCGTGCGCCTATTGTTAATTAGCGAGAGAATACGAACCTGGGGGTCGGTATATCTCTAGGGACGGTTTGGACTTGGGGGTGGCTACGTTATTACTTCCTTTCTGCGGAATCGCATCCCTCATCTAAAGAAAACAAATAAAATACACGTCACACAAGAACTTAATGAGTCTGTCCTCGAAACGCCTTAGAAGAGTGTTTTGAGTTCGAGGAAAACTTTTTCTCGCCGCGGAATCGCATCGTAGCGAGACTGTAATTGTGAATAATTACGCTGTCTGTATTATTAAAGGCTAATGTCAAAACTTTCCGATTTGGCTGCAACTCGCATGCGAATGGAAAACGTTGAAAAGATGATTCACCGTCCGAAGAAAATAAAATCGTGCTGGTCAAAGTGTTCACTTTGACTTCTTAATGTAATTATATATAAAACGATGTTAAACTAAACGATTTTTCTCATCGATATTTATTGCATTAAATTTTAAACATGTAATAATTTTGTTATAAAATTAAAATAATAAGCGTACCATGTTCTATTTTTCAACGTGACACATCAAATAAAATAACGCGACGATGTAGTCGGCAATATAAATAGTTTTGCAATACAACGGATATTTCAATTGTAATAAAACCTTGCTCCTAGAAGATAAATTTTCTTCTCGAAAGTGTTACGAATTTTAAGAATAGTGTGTGTGTGTATTGTATATAATTCTTAAACACTATTTAAAACGTGAAGATAGTGTTTATTCAAGCCAAACAAAACATCAAGTTCAAGGCTTTCTTTCTTTCCATTCTTCGTGGACAAAGAATTCTTTTCAAGTGTCCTGTTCAGTTTGCTGAAAAGTGTCTTTCACCGCCCACTGCGAATCTAATCCCCCTTGCAAAATCCGAAGTTTTAAAATAATCCTAATCGGCAAATCTTGGCATTCGTTCTTTGTGTTGTATATATTATGCATAGCCACGTGCATTATTCACTACAAGTGTATACAAGGTGTTTCTTAAGTACTGTTCAATATTTTAAGAGTCGATTTTTGAAATCGCTTTAATGAAGAAAATTTTATATGAACATATGGTCTCAAAGGTCTCGTTTCAGAGGTACAGATTGTTAAAAATTCTATAAAATTATTGTTTTATCTTAATAGCTCCTATAAATAAAAAAATGATTCCTCTTCAAATTCAGGTCAGTAAGTAAGCAGAATATTACTTGCCTATAGTCGCCGTTTTGTAAATAGTCAATGACATAAAAACGGGGTTCAGATAGTACATTACTGCTCCGAACGCCAATGGACAAAATCAAATTTTTTGCAGATTTTTATTACGGTACACTCTCGCTAATTATCTTTTTAAAACCTTTTTTTTCGTTTAAGAACTACTAAAAAAGATAATTTTATAATTTATATGTTCAATACTCAGCATCTCTGAAATGAGGTTTTTGAGACCATATGTTCACATGAACTTTTCCTCAAAGGCTACGGTCAACGTGACGCTACAAATGCTTTGGAGCGTTCATCTTCACCTTCTTTCTTCATTGAAAAAAAAAAAGAGAAGAGAAATGCTTCGAAGCATTTGTAGCGTCACGTTGATCGTAGCCAAAATGACCTCAAAAGATCAATTTCTAGAATATTAAAGAAATATTTAAAAAAAACACCCTATATATTTGTACATGTATCAATAAATAGCGATAAAGAGCATACACATACATTTTTCTCGTTTTGTAATGCACGTTACAATAAATGTGAGGAACACATTGGCTAAATGCACAAGCTCGTTATGGTAACACGTCGCGAAGCATGCGGGAAATGCATACGTTACACGTCGCGGACTCAATTAAACGCGTGGGTTTAATTTACGCGCCAATTTATTGCCACGGGCAATGCCATAGTACGAAGAACATTAATTGTAAATTAATCCACGCAATTAAAAATAATAGACGGCGTAGGTATAATAGAATTTATATAATATATGTATAATAAAGTTAAACCAATAAATGTTTCGGGAACTGGCTTCGAATTTTTTTCTTTATAATTTTGCAGATTGATTTGCTTGGATAGTTTTCAAAGGTGGGTCCAGTCTTATCAGAAGGTTGTCAAGGTGATTGGAAATGACAGCGTTTATTCAATTCTTCGTGATTGCACAGATATAATTTCGCGCCAATTAATCGCACGACAGTGAAATCAAACGGAACAACAGTGAAAGACGAGTAATATTAGCTAATACGAAGTCTAAACTTCGACGCTGTCGTATAAAACTCACAAGGCTGCGAGGAATTGTTTCGCGATACAATTTTTAAGCTTCTCAACAGAACGACTTTTGACTAGTCCTCTCTTTAATAATTAAGGGATAATATAAATGTTTAAAAATATGTTTAAAAAGAGACATCATCTAAAAAGATATTCCATCAGTTTTTTTTCACATTTCGAGTTTCGTTATCTTTTATATAAACGCGAATTTATTAAGTTTTGCAGAGGAGACAAATAAAGAGACAAAATCAAGACAGATCGAAAGAAACAGATAGAAATGAAAAGAACTCGATAATCGCAGAGAGCAAAGCCCAGCCTCTCGAGATAATTACGACATTTACATAATTCTTTAAAATTTTTATCAATTCTTCAGGTCATCTTTTTTCGCGGAAGGAGACGAGATTCGCGTGAAACTGGAAATACAGGCTGCGTTCGCTTTGGGCGCTTTCGTGCTGAAAGCATCAGTCTATCTTTATTGCTCGTTACATGTTGAAAGATGCATCATGCTTTCAGCACGAAAGCGTTCAAAGCGAACGCAGCCATTGTGTTTACGTCGCTGCTTCGCTCATGTAAGAAACGCAATTTGGAACCTGCGTCGTTATCGCGCGATTTCCCAATTCGCACGTTAAGCTCTCTATTATCCGCGCGTGTCAGCTGCTAGATTTCGCGAGTCGGCCAAGACGCGCCGCGCGTCTTTCTTTCTCTGTTTTTTAGCCTCGTAACAATTGCATCGTCGGGGAAACAATTGCAAGCGGAACAACAGCAAAACGATATACTCTCGACGACACCGTACACTGACAAAGTGGCAAGTGGCAACCCGCTCGTCCCGCTCCCATTATCGTCCCGTGCTTCGCGTGACGCGCTTCGTCAGTCGGAAATACCGAGAAAAATGTCTCTGATATAGCGCGGAGTGACTCAACCGCGGGGATCGAAAACAGATGCTGCGGGTACCGATATATAATTTCGGCGAGTTCGGATTTCGGATTCCGACGCTACGTGCGTAACGCGAAGAAAAGAGAAGCCGATCTCCACGGCAGCCCACGGCAGACGTTCTCTAATTAGTCGAGAGTCGAGGATGACCGCGGTCTAACGGCGACTCTTCACCTCCTCCCTCCTCCTTCTGGAACCAAAGAGAGGGGAAACGGAGAAACAATTGAACCTCGCTTCAATTAACGATCCTCGTATTCTTCGTAGCTCGTAGCGGTCTCCTTACTCGTGACAATTAAAGAGCGACGCTGTACAGTGCACGCTTCCGCGCGTCGGCTTTCAATCCCGGAATCCGTATAAAGAAATCCGAACTCACCGGAACGAGACGGACGAAACCCTGGCTTGGCTTCACCGAGATGAAGAGCCACGGGAAGGTCGAGCTATCGCGGGGGAGGAGGAACGTGGGGGCGGGAGGAAGTGACGAGCGACTCACACCACTCACATTACTCACAGTGAAGAGCGTGCGAGAATCATCCTTCCCAAGGTCCAACGCGATCGGGTGCTACCAGCAGTACCAGCTACCGAGATACCCCTCTTCTTGCACACGGGTCACCAGGACGGCAGACCGGAACGGAATTAACGGGAACCTCGCGGCGCGGCGTGGCGTGGCGCACGCACGTGCACGGCACGGAGGCGAATTTCCGGGCGCGACACGACGAGAGGCGTCGTGTATTTTCTCGACGAAGAGGGACGCGCGACTTTTCCGCGTCGAACGTGCGTGCGTGCGTCGTCGGCGTTGTGTCGTCGTCGCGTCTTCGCTCGCGCACGCAGGGGCTCCTCTCCGATGACCGAGGACTAATAATAGCCGCGGTGTAGCCACGAGCGAATGCTACTGTATATCTACGCGCGACGCCGCGTATGTACACGTATCGCGGTGTACACGCCGCGCGTGAAAAGCAGACTGAAATATCCGACGGGATGATGCTCGATGCTCGTCGCGCGTCGCGACGCTTTTTCTCTTTCCCTCTCTCTCTCTCTCTCTCTTTCTATACATCTCTTTCGAGAACGTTGAAATTAGGATTATAAAACCGCGCTATCTTCTGTCGGTCCCGCAACCGCTCGCCAACAGCGACGACAATGGTAGCGGCGAACTGAAAGAGATGGTTTGTTTACCAACGCCGAATCTTTGACTGACTCGCCGAGCTGAATCTCTTGCACCGTTCACGTTTTCTCTTTTTCTCTCCAATGTGAAAAGAAAAAGAGGAAAGATGCGACCGCGCAAGAAAAAATTAGCTAAAAAGAATAGGCCTTTTTTTTATCAATGTCACGTGAACTGAAGGTGTCTTCAGAGGGAGAGAATGGATAAGGATATTTTCTATGCTTTCACACGATGAATGTATATCTTCGCGCAATCGAATTTTCGTTAATTTTTAACATCCTTGGCATTGGCTATTATGCGCCTAACATTTACATGTAATTATACAAATAATCTTATTTAAAACACTTTTATCTTACATGGCATTAGAAGACGTAAAAAATTCAGGAAAAATCTTGGATATTATAAACGCAATATTATTTTCACAAATGCTCTGTAATCTGTAAAAATCTTTTTTAATTTTAAATCATATGTATCAATTTTATTGATACATAATTTAGATATAAAAATCAAAGTTGATTTAAAATGTTTATAAAAAATTTCGTAGACTTTTAATCGTTTTTCTCCTGTATCCTTCAAATGTATAGGCGCAAGAAATTAAAAAAATATGTATGTTTACATTTAATTGTTTTCTTATATTTTCTGCGTTTCATCATAATCCTTCAATAAGAATAACACAACATAAAATATTAGTTCTATTAAATTTTTCATTTTGGTAAAACGACAACGGATTGATAAAGGAGTCAACAAATTACAAAATTTTCATTCTATCTTTTCCCTTCTTCCCCAAAATAAAGAAGATTACGAAAATATACGATAATCTGTTTTGCAATCAATTTTTATCACGTGGTATCGTCATTTTTTCGTTTCCGCATGGTTTCTACCGCGGACTTCGTTCCTCGCTGAATGGGCCCGTTGTCTCTTCACATGTCTGACGTCGAAGTTTTTACGCCGTTTCAGGGACAAAATGATTACAAAATTACAACGGAATTGGAGAGAAATAGATATCCGTAATCTCGCTGCTAATAATACACTGATTATTATCAAGGAAAATGCATCGGCAAGTTTGAAGAGCATGCAGAGTTAAGAGTCCGCTCGCACGACCACAAAATTAACATGATAATAGCTGAAGGCCTCACCTTCGTCAGCTTTGTTCCATCCGCGCGAGTTGCCCGCACCATTTTCTCGCAGTATTTATATTTATTATCAAACACCCAATGAGAAGATCTCGATGTCTGTAACGATGTCAAGATTGTCTCCATATATTCTCTACACGACTTCTTCACTCTTCCTTTTGCCCGTCTTCCAGCGAGGATCTCAATTGTCGATCAACGAAGAGAAAAAGCTCTCGGCCGGTTCCGCGGCGCGCTTGTTCCGAAACGACTTCAAACTCTCTGCCGCGTTTTTACCGAATTTTTCTTTTTCTTCGACGCTCATTAGAGACGAGATCTAAACGTCTAAAACGTTACTGATAAGTACAACGAATAAGATCACAAAACGATTCACTCCTGCGATTCGATCCCCAAAGACGCGGTTGCGATCGACGGCGCTCGCCGTCTACCTACGCCTCGCCGGCCTCGCTCGATCCGGTCGATCGATCATCCGGCCGTATCGCGTCACTCGTCGAATCCGCCGCGCTATATAGACATCGTCTCTCAATAATTACCACGATAAACGATGATGATTCACCTAGCGCTGGATAACTGGCGCGACTAAACGCGCCTTTCAGGCGTTCCTCTCGCGCATCGATATCGCCATCTGCGTAAATCGAGGTTTCCGCGAGAGGACCGGACACGAGAGTCACTCACGGTGCCCGATATGCCGTCACGCCGATGACTGGAAATAAATACGTCGCGTATCTCCAGTCACACACCTAACATTACTTAATACGCGATTCGCGTTGGTAGGCGGCCGCGTGCCGCCTCCGTACACCTGCCGACGCGGAACACTGACAAAGAGAGACAGAGAAGAAAAAAAAAGTTATGCCGCGCAGATAGGTACGACGCAGCCGAGCAGCAGTTTATATCGGTCATTTATCCGCGCGCATGTAAATTCGTTGCGGCCCCGCGCGACCCACGCATTTATCTCAATTACGTACAATTAGTTTACATGCATTTGATTCACAACGAATTTACATGTGGACGAACGGAGTATGTGATAATAATACATATAACGAATATAGCACATTGTATATACATATGTATATAATATTAATAATATATATGTTCGCACACACAAAATAAAAAAAGTCTACTTTTTAATTTATAATATTATATAACAATATTGTAATAATTTGATTATAATAATTTATCAAACTTATTCAGGGAATAATAGATTGGGTCTAACATAAATATCTTTCTTCTTCCACTTCTTTTTTTAACTTGGGTATACTGAGAAGCTTTAGGAATTGCATAGTCAACAATGGTCTATGAATTAAAAAATTCTGGATGCTGCGAAAGTTTTCGAGATTTCATCTCTAGACTAGATAACGGTTGATTACGCATCGCATTAAATTAAGAGCGAATCGACAGTTTTATACCCAATTTATTGTACATAACACTAAAATAAGTGAAATAATACACATGACAAGGATATGTCATGGACCCACACATCGCACATATGCGCGCGCGCGTTTACGCTCGCACAGACACACCTTCACAAATCGTTGCATTTATGGATACAATTTATAGAGGATTACAAATCATAGCAGTGATAAGTTAACCCGAGAGTCTACATCTAATCTTAAATGGAAGCATAAATCATTTATCACTTTTCCGTCTAATGGCTAGACTTCGTTACATATTCGTTCGATGATATTTTCCGTCCCTTAAATGACTAATACATTCATACTGCAAATAAATATGCCTGTTTTACACATTATAACTTAGAACTGATCGTTAATAGTTGTTAATTTCTGTCCTATCAAAATAGAGCTCGAGTCGAATCGACAAATCAATCCGCTTAGCGCATGACAGAAAAAGGTCAGTTCTCGTTATATATTGGAATATCCTTCGTACCGGACACATCCGACGGTGATATCCAACAAAAAGGCGCAGATTCCTGGCATTCTCGCACGAGAACTGACGTACAGGAAGTTTACATTTATTGCAAAAAAAATCAGATAACTTAGATATATATATTTTTTGATTAAGATTGAACTTAACTAACGTATTAGAAATGAGCACGAGACCATCGCATGACACGGTATATATAAACAATTTGACTACTTTAATCATTAAAACAATAACGAAGACGCCTAATTCCTCCTAAAAAATAAAAATCAAAATAAACCGCGTCAGCACCAATATGTTCATTGAGAACGCGTCGAATCTAATTAGGAGGCTCAACAAAATTCTTTCACGTTCACGTTTGGACGCGCTCTCGGTCTCTCGCTTGCAAAAATGCCCTGACTTCATAAACAAGACAAACTTACATGGAATCACGCGGAAGTAACAACGCGTACGTTGTATGAGGCAGTGATATCGAGCAGCGTTTTTCCGCACGATTCTGGCATGCTTTAATTTAAAGCAAATCTTAGGTAACAGTTATAGTTTACAGCAGTTTTGGTATCTATCAAAATCTGACAGTGGGTAATTCAGGACATAATTGGTATCTCTCTTATAATAAATTTCAGTGTGTCGTCGAGTAATATATTATAAATCTTCGAACAGCGTCTTGACAACTCTGTAGGCACATTCCTGCTTCAATGTCGAAAATACATGTGTTCAGATACGTACCGAAAAACCGATCAGAAATTCTCATTGTCTCTGAATACACATTTCTCTTATAATATAATACAGCTGTGAGTATATAACGTGATTTTGTCAGGTTTTATATCATACGCACTTATTTATGTAGTCGACGTAGTCGAAATGCAACAATTGCCTGCAGGAGGATGTTCCCATGTACGGACAAAAAAATATTTGAGAGAAAGAGAGAGACGCTGGGCAATATTACATTTCGACTATGGTTATCTGTTATAAATAATTAAAAGATATTTGCCTGCTAGCATGGCCTACTGAACACTTGGGTAGTTTGGAGCTTTTGTGAGTGATTTACAGTCACTCTTGTTTATGTCTATTTTTCCTACTGCGTTCTGCAAGTAAAATCAATATTATCTATATGTATGTACACGATAAATGATACATTAATGCATGTAAGGAACAAGTATGGAATACTCATTCGGATGGAAAGTCCATGTTTTGCAGTAACATTGTTACCATGGTAACTCGATCTCATCTTGTACCATTCTGAACTTTTCGTTAATTCAATATATGTATGTGTAAAAGTAAAAGTATTTTTCGCAAGAAGACATTGAATTTGTACCTCGAAGAGTTGCGTTTGTCGTTTTAATAATAAACGAACGTAAGCGATATAACGTACATACCAATTAAAAAATATAGCCAGCTCAAAATAAGCTTGCTTGTTGTTCAAATATAAACTGAACTACGTAGGCATTCATCTCTTTCAACAGATCTAACATCAATACCTTACAATAAGAACAACCTATGACCTGGAGTTAAAAATATACTCAGGATATAGGTCCGCATCTGCAATTATAATATTTCATGCCTTCCGCTTTCAAGTTACGGAATGACAATGGCGATTCTCATTCTAAGATATTGATGCGCATGATCATTTAACAAAATGTTCTTTCGTTCCCCGGAGAATATAAACTATGTCGTATTCGAATTTTCAATGTATAGGAACTTTCATTGTGTAAATGCAATTCCATTGTAGCGTTATATACTCCATCTCTACGATCATTATTTAGGCAAACTATTTCATACATTATTGCCATGGAAACGTTATTACTGCTGAAAATATTTTCTCCTAACGTACGGTATATATGAAAAGAACTTTTGAGCGGCGGAGCGGTTGTGGTAGCATTTCTCGAGACTTTTCTCATTAAAAAAATAATTAACGATAATCAGTAAATATTAATAGATTTCCCAGATATAAAATAAGTTTATATTATTACAGATGTATGTATAAATCTTCAGTTGTAAAAATATTATCAAGAGAGATCATGTTTTTAGCTTCTATAATATACAGTTTCTTAAGACTCAAGCAGTATGCTTGAATATTTCCAAAATTTCAAAAGCTTATCTCTTTAACCACACACACAGTACAAATAACAATCTTGTCATATGAATATATAATAATATGACTGCTGCATTAATAAAGATTCGGATATTTATAAATATTGAAAAATTACATGAATAATCCAATGCAAAAGATATATTTTTCAATAACTCTATCGCTAATTGAAGTAATCTGTAATAACTAGTTGAGAAATAATGTACTTTCTTGCGGATTATCGATAATCTATTCATATTCAAATTGCAACTACTCTATGCGCTACCAAATACCTGCTGCGTCGCTGTTAAATCATAATCTATTAATTGATATTTTCGTACGCAATATATAGATATAAAAAAAAGATTAGCTAAATGTAACTGCTGGATATCCAATGTAATAATGGATACTGCATCCATTCCCTCTAACTACTCCTTCTAAGTTATAAAACCCCTCCCTGAGGATTATGAATATCCAGCAGTTGGGCAAAAATGCTATCTACTAGTCGAATAGTAATGGTTAGCCTAGTTCAATCATTTCTGCATCTTCCACGTTGTTATGGCCAACTATATTGTACCTAAAAAATTATTGCCCATACTGTTTTTAACACGAATTTCATAATACAAAATTGTATACTGTAAAAAAAGTTAAAAAAAAATAACGATTTGTAAGTTTTATATTCTTACGTGTGATTTGATAAATGGGCATTGTGGAAATGAAGATGCGTCGTCCGAGGTGAAAAACCACGAGTTGCTTTGCGAGGACTTCTGGCTTTTATGACTGATGGTGGTGACATGGTATTTAGGTAAGGTTGTTGAAGAAGTACATCCTCCAATATGCTTGGTGCTACATATGTAAATCCCTGAAGAAAGCGTAGTTATTAAGAAATGTAACGATGTGTATGCATAATGACTGATCTAGACATATAAATCAGAAGAAAAAAAACTCACTTGGAACAGCCCGTCAGCTGACTCGCTCAAAGTGTAGTCGACTGGAGAATCAACTGGCGATGAAGCGGTAAATTTATTATCAAATTGTGATACGTCTTCTTTGCTAGACAATTGTGGTCTAAAAGGAGGTTCTAACTGTCGAGATATAACGTCGTCCCAATTGATATGTCTGAAGAATTTGTGTCTCTTTACTTCTTCACCATCCAACTGAGATCCCATTCTTTGCGGAACTTGTCTCTATACGGAAGAAAATTATATATTTCTAATAAATATCACGATATATATTTTTTAAAACAGCACTGCTTTTAAGATGCTTATAAATATTTACAGCAATTAATTTATGAACACTAACCCTCAGTAATTTTCGAATAAAATCTTTAGCATCGGCCGTTACATATAATGGAAAAGTTAATTTGCCACGTAGAATCTTCTCAATAGTTTTCTTTCTGCTGCTTGAAGTAAATGGTGGCTGAAAATTTTAGCAAATATTAACATGAGCTGATATGCACATTATTTTATCTTGAATTTGTATGTAATGACAGTACGTACAGCTCCTGTAAGCATGTCATATGTTAAACTTCCTAAGCTCCACCAGTCTACCGCCTTCCCATGTCCACTTCTCGTTAAGATCTCAGGTGCCCTTGATTAAAATACAACAATCAGTGTAAATTGTAATAGTAAAATTTTCCAAATTATCAGTCGCTCTATGATATTTACATATATTCGATAGTCCCGCAAAATGTATGAGTAAGAGCACCCTCCTGTATATGCTCTTTACATAACCCAAAATCAGTTAACTTAATATGTCCGTCTGCGTCCAATAGAACATTTTCTGGTTTCAAATCTCTGAAAGAGATTTATTACAAACATTATTAATTCAATGCTGCATACCGATAGAACATTCAATATATGTATCAATTATATTACAGCCTTAAATTATATTTCAACTCTATAGTACCTGTATATAATTCCTTGCAAGTGTAGGTGTTGCAGAGCTAATGTAATTTCGCACAAGTAAAAACTGCAAAACAAAATAACGCGTGATGTAGAACTTTACGCTGGCTCTATCTTTGAAAAATATAATTGGAAACATTTTTTTTTACAATTCACTCACCGCGCGGTATCTTCCATGAAAATTCCTTCGGCATTTAAGTGTCGGAACAACTCACCGCCGCACATGTATTCCAGTATCAGATATAACTTATGACCAGTTTGGAAAGCGTACTTGAGATCTACGATAAAAGGATGCTGCCAGATGCAAGCATAAATATATGAATTAGTATTTTGCATAAAATATAATAAAAAATTGAACATTAGTTTTTATTGAAACATGTTCAAAAACATGTTACAAATATCTTTCATACGTACTATTGAGATTAAATCCACGTATGAATGGTCAAATTCTATTGTAAATACTCTAAATTTCTACATATTTGCATACATGAATACAACTAACCTTTATAGACTCCAAGATGTTTCTCTCGGCTCTAGTGTGAGCTGTATCCTTCTGATTTTTTACAATCAAAGCCTTGCGCAATACCTGTTACGAAACGGCACAAAAGAATATTGTGAATGACTAAAGAATTACAGATAAAGACGCTTGCCGGCAGATGATAATATAAAAATAGATATTGATTAGAGAATTTACGGCTTAACGCTACCGCTCTAAAGATAAAACTGCAAAAACCAATTAAGTTCGCAATGTTTGAAAAATGTAATTGAAACTTCTAACGAATAACGAGATGATTAAAAGTAATTTTATGCATGCAAATCTTTGTTCGCGAAACACTCGCCGACTAAAGATACATAAAATACATAATTTTCGCTACAATTAATATGACACAGTGAGGTAACATTCTTCAAATTTCGAATGTTACCAATTATCCACCTTGAAAGGCATTTTTCACGCACTGAATATTTAGCGAACACGATACATTCCGGGATAAACAATAACGTTGCATAATTATGCGTCACTGGGGGATTTCCGTACCTTCATAGCGAAGAGAGTGCCGCTGTCGTTTCCCGTTATTTTGCGCACCTGAAACACCTTGCCGTAGCCACCTTTTCCGATAACTTTGCGCAACTCGAAGTCCTCCGGCCCGACCTTATCGCGCGCGCGATTGACAATCTGCTCTATCGGCTCCGTCTCCACGTCCGACGAGCTGGAAGCGACAAGGGAAAAAAGGGAATAAACTGGTTTTAGCCGACGGCGACGTCAGAAGGGCACGAGGCCCCGAGAGGTCCGCGGGCGGCCGCGTGGACGCGGCGCGCAAGTCTACTCACTTTACGATCTCATTCAGGTTCAGCGCGACGCATTCCTCCTGCGAAAAGGAAAACAGATGCGGCGTTAGTGCGATATCGAAACCCACGTGCAGCCACGGAGTCGCGGGCGGGGACGCGACTCCGCGGAGGTGTCGAGGGATGGGCAGGGTATGATGCCGCGCGAGAGAGAGAGAGAGAGAGAGAGAGAGAGCGAGAAAGCTTTCAATTACCGCGTCGATCTCGATGATGTCGTCGTCCTCCGACTCGTCCCTGTGCAGCGGTCCTGCTTCCTGCAGCTCGATGTCGAAGATCGCCGACATCGTGCGGTCTTGCCTGTCTCTTGCGCGTCGCTGTTTCGTGAACACGGGCTGGAGAACGGACAGGTCAGGATATGTTCACTCTCGCCGTCGCGTCGCGCGCGCCGCGATGTCAACACATCGAATTTGACACGCCGTACGCCGAGTAGCAGCAGGCCGCCCAACAGACACGAGCGGGGAGGGCACGCGAAGCCGCACACGACGACCGCACGCACTCGAGATTCGGTCGCGGAGTGACGGAGAGCGGCACTCTCTCGATTCTCGATTCTCCTCCCTCGATTCGCGGAACGGACGCAACGTCACACCGCCGCACACGCCTGGCGTCGCGCGAGTGTCGCAACTCCTTGCAACGCGCAACCGCGTGGGAAGGGGAGCCCGGACTCTCGAGCCAATCGCGTCGCGCGTCGCCACTCCCACCACCGCCACCGCCGTCCCGCCATGCGTTCGAATCGCGCATTCTCGAATATTTGGAATGGGGAGAATTCGGCACAAAAGAATCGTTTCCATTGTGAACGTCATTTTCTCTGGGAAACCGGAAGCTGACCGAAAACCTTTCCTTCTCTTCGTGGTAGTCAAATACAAAAAGTGAAAGCTTTGTAACAAATTGATTGTTGCCGTCAACGGAATTTTGGTTCTTGTCGTGAAGACAATAAGTTTTTCTCTTTCGTGAAGACAGCAGAAAGAAATTTTTCTAAATTTACCGTTATCTATTGAAACACTAATTAGGGGTATATTCTTTAGAGGATTTGTACGTTGATCTTTTCCCTTCGCCTGTCCCCTTTGGAGAGAGAAAAAAAAAAGGAAAGGTGAATAATGCGAGTTCATCAACTAGAATAAGGAACGGATCCGAAACTCTCGTTGACCTTTTAAAAAGAGCATCGGTCAGTCTTTCTCCGCAGGGTCCTTTGTTTAGTGCCACGTTTCGAGCTTCATTCCTCTCTCCCTTTGTTTCCGGGAGCCGTTATCGGGTTCTCGGAACGCAACATACGTCATACGGCGTGTCAGACGCTCGAATAAAGGTCTTCGTCGCCGGCACACGCGTAGCGCCTATATAGATCGCGCGCGGATTGTGCAATTTTGCGAAATCGCGCGCGATCGCGATTATCCTCTTCGCTTAATAAGGGAATTGTTAAAGAGATCTACGCGCCGCGCGTTATCAATGCAATTCCGACGATTATCCGTTATCGTTATCGCGCCGAAAGTTAATCGGGGCGACGATACGGTACACTCGCGTCGCGGATAAATGGAGATAACGCGTGGGCGGGCACCTACAGGCGATAGAATTTCATACGCATTCGTACTTCGTACGGACGTGCGTTTACCGTTCGTCCTATAGGCGCGATCGCCGGGCCCGACTCGCCAAAAATGGTTCATCATGTGCGGGGATACGAGAACTTTCTCGAATACGTGAAGGACCTGAGAGCCACGACGCCGATCTACGTGCTCTACACCGGCACGAAGCTGGAGGACACCGGCAAGAGTTGGTGCTCGGACTGCGTGGAGGGTGAGCGGATCTCTCTCGCGCGTGTCGACCGCCGAGATATATAACCTAACCTAACTTCTCGAGTATGTTGTCTGTTCCGAGCTCCGAATTTGTCGGAGGCGAATTTTTTGCAGAGCGTCCGCTGTAAATTTTATTGGTGGAATACCAGCAGAAGCACAACAGAATCTGCTGGTAAAGTATGATTAGCAGATTAATCTCCATTTCTACCAATGTAGATTAACTTTAATCGTGGTTTAACTTGTTTTTCATCTTTTTCTAGTTCTTAAAATTAGAGAAAGATAAAAGGTAATTTAAACCAAGATCCAAGTTAATCTGCATTGATAGAAATGGATATAACTGTAAAAATCGAGCATTTTGCTGTTTCGTAATTATAATTTGAATGTTATATTCCATTGACCACTGGGTGTTCTGGAACTGAATCGAATATCAGCGATATTCAAATTTTTTAGTGCTCGAAACTACGAAATGATTTGATTAACGATGAAGTGAAGGCTACACGTTCTGATATTCACTGCCAATACTGAAAATCTATAGTTTACGTCACATACACTATAGATTTTTAGTACTGGCAGTGAATATCGGAACGCAGCTGAAATGATGATAGCATAAGACATACCTATATTTTCATAACGTCGAAAAATCAATCGATTATCTAGATTCTAGAATGATTTTTGTATTATTCATTATTTAGGAACTTTCTATCAAAACGCAGATATGAGATTATCAAGAAATTTGTTTGAGATAAATATGTTTGGAATATCTTTTGGGATATCTTGATTCAATTTGAATCACTAATTTCTTATCTAGTTTTATGTGTATAATACAGAAAAAGAGAATATATATAATGTAAATATGTGTTGATGTTGATATTATATTTTAAACCAGTATGTTTACTTAGGTACTTAAGTTATTCTCTATTTTATTTCAGCTGAGCCATTTATTGAAAAAGGTTTCGAAGCAGCACCTGAGGGAACATTATTAGTGACAGTGGAGGTTGGAAACAGACCATTGTAAGTAAATAAGACGTTTCGTATCTGCGACTGTGTTATTTCTATACGAATTATCACGTGAATAATACTAATTCTTATCTAATAACATAAAATACAATATAACAAAATATAAAACTTAAAAATATCTTTTACATGCTGTCCTAGTTGGAAAGATCCGAATTGTCCATTCAGGACAAATCCTGTTACCAAGTTGAAAGTCTTACCAACTCTGGCTAAATGGGGGACTCAGAAACGTTTAGAAGGTGAACAATTACTGAAACCTGAGCTTATCGATATGTTACTAACAGATGAAGACGACTAAAGATATTTTTAATACATATATTGTCTTTCTATATTTTTTACAAAAAGTTTATACAGGATGTTTCTTAAAGATAAGAAGTCCTGAACCATTCTTTTTATATAGTGCTCAATAAAGTAGTAATTATTGAATAAAGTAAATCCAATATCAGCGCCGTCCTTTGGTCGGGTGATATGTCGGTAAGCCGTCTGATAGTATAGCGGCGAAGCGGTGCTTACGCTTTATTAAACATAGAAAAAGATTCAGAATTTCTTGATTCAATTTTTTACAAGGAGTAGCGCTATGCAATTAGTGGGCGCTCTTTAATAAACATCCTGTATATATTGAATTATAAACATACATAAACTACATTTTCGTACATGATGTATTATATATCTACTTTTTAAATAATAATCATTCCTTCCGTTACCCTGCTTTGAAAAGAGATATCAAGACTATAAAGAAAAATTATATAAATTAAAATAATAGGATTTATTAAAATAATAGGATTAATTTTTTATGCATTTGCATTTATATATAGATATATATTCCATAATTATTATTGCAATTAAGATCTACATAATCTTTTAAGCAATAAGAAAATAAGAAAAGCGAAGGAAATGCCAAATAAACAATCAAAATCAAACAATGCGATCAATCTATAAATTACAAAAAATTCACCTTATATCTAAGTTTGCTACAAAACGAATATAATACCCTAACATAACATCCTTCCATTACACGAATTCCGTAACATTTTAACTTGATCTATCATGAGTAAAAATATTAGAAACTAATGTTATTAAAAATTTCCTAAAAGGATTTTCACTTTATTGTATAATCGCTTTTCGTGCCGGTGGTAATACACGTACGGAATAATGAACTTTCTTATTCCTTAACATACTGTAGGTATTGTCGAAAACAACGGAATCTGAAACAAATAAGATTTAGATGACATTGTCGTTATTTGGAGTGCTGCTCGAGCGATATGGGCTTACAGGTCGATGGAGTTTCGCAAGTTAGTAATCCAATCTCGTCCGATTGATGGGATGCGACTCTCCGAATGGGTATAACTTCTGTTTTCGTACCATTAGTCGCGTCCTTTTTCAAAATCCCGAATTTAATATCGTGACCTTCGCTTCGGAATTCCCAACTGAATATAAGAATATGAGTTGAGAAAAAGAAAGCTTTTCCTCTCGACATATGTTTATCGCAAGATACATCACCTTAGAACGGAACCCACTTCGGGCGTAGAAATATCGAATTCCAACTTTCCTCCTTTTTGAACGACGACGGTAGTGTAATCCTCGTTTGACTTTTCCATATTTTTGGTGTACAAGTCTTTAGGTATCTTACCACCTTGGCAGATCTGGTAACAATTCCGATCTATCATTCTCCGGAACAAGATACATACTTACATTTAAAGAGAACAAAGTAAATTAATTATTCCAAAACGAAAATAAATGTGTGAAGCAAGCGAAATGCAAGAGTTCGCAATAAAGATCGAATTCTTCAACGAGATTTTATAGTTTTTTTTTAAATGAAAATTTGAGGAGAGGTATTAATTTCAACAGGAGCGATTAAACTTATCACATAGAATTTCACATGTTCTATCGATGTTTTCACACTTCATATTCTATGTGTTAGGTATATGCGTAATTTTTAAAGAAATTTATTTAATACCTTTGACGTGTATTTTGGATTGCCATCTGGGTCTGTTAGTGCTCCACCGTAATGGGCAGGTAATTGATCCTCTGGTATGAGTTTAAGAATTGCCGGTTTCCATTTCTCAGGGTCGGATTTGTAGATTTGTATTTTCGACAATGTATAATCATCCATGAATTTCTTGATAATTGAAAAAGCAAAAGCGAAGACTTTGGGGGCTGTAACAATATATAGCATATACTAACAGCGCCTTTTTCTATTTCTAAAAAATTTTTTTATTAGCCAATTGTTAGCACAATACGTTGTAAGCAAAATTTACGATCTTTTATATAATAATCGTAAAATAGTCTCTCTGGTCTCTCTTATTATGCTGACTTATCATATGTTAAACGAAAATCCGAAAGTAATATAAAAAAAGAGGAAAGAAGAAAATGAATAAGCATTAACATTCCATGGTGAATCGGTCGTCACAGCGGTCGGCTTTCAAGCTATTCAAATTATTTAGTATTTTGACTACAAAGAGAAACGGAATCGTAAAATATTTCATAATATCCGTAGTTAATAGGGAATTTTCACGCATAATGCAATTACCGTTTTGTGGCTCATCGGTGATCCATAGGACCTGAATGAAAAGTTATGTTAAATAGGCGTAATATGGAACATCAAAATTTCAATATATTTTATATATTTTAATATATTTTATTTACTTATATATTCGTATTTTATAAGCAGTTTTTTTAAGGCAGACAATGCATCAAAGAATATCCGCATCTAATTCGTGGATATGTGATGGTAAAATTTAAATGAAATCGCGCTAACGCAATACGATTATCATATTTTATTAAACTTACCGTTAATCAGAAAGGCCATCTTTAGAATTTCCGGATAGTTTGCCTCGTACATTTGGATGAAGGTGATGATCAGTTCGCCAGCTGCAAAAATATACGCAACGGTAAAACGATAAAAAAAGACAGCGGCAGGTAACAATAAGACGAATTGCACCCATTGGGTTGTAGGCATGTATACTATATATATATTTTTTTTTACCTGGTTTCCACAAATATTGCTTAAGACAAAATCCTTCCATGTCGAAAACAACGGTCACTTGATTGGCGATCTGGCCATGCTTCTTGGCTTGCTCTCTGGCTAAGTTTAAATAAGCGTCTAACAATTTTATCATAACTTTGACGAACTCCTTTTGCGTTATTATGTGTAATATTCCGTACATATCTAGACCGGCAAATGGTACTATGATCACTATAAAAATAACATACATATATACATATATATTATATTGTATTATATATATTTATCGATTTGCAAAAGAATGATGAAAGAAATGCAAAATAATTTTATGCAATGTAAATTTTCAACGTTAATTTAATTTAAAAAAATATTTTTATTGCCTTTAATAAATATATGCGCGCGTGCACGTAACTGCATTTATAATATGTTAAAAGTTTAATGAGAAAAGCAACATAGCGGAATTCGGCTGGGATTGCCTTACAAAGAGTGTAATATTATATGATAAGTATAAACTTTTATAGAATAATAAAACATAAATTAATTCTTAAAAAAGAATAAGCAAGACAGTTTTTTTTATTCTCTCTCTTTAACTCCAAGTCAAATGTTACAATTCTTTTAGACTCCAAAAAGTTTTGTGTTTTGTTTATTATCTCTTCTCTTATAGCTCTTATATTCATAATATAAAAATATCAAATAAATATTGAATAAATTACCTTGATAATAAATACAACAACAAAAACTTGACACAATTAAATGATGATAATTTCACTTCGTCGGTTTCAGATTTGTAATCTTATAGAAATAAAGTTTGAATAAAAATTGTTTTCACCGCTAACAAACAAAACTTGTTTGATATAATGAATGTTAAAGTAATAGCTAATAGATGGTATTGTCTAATTTCGAATAATAAAATAATTTTTTCCATTAGAAAATTATGACGATATTCCTCACCATGAGAGAGAGAGAGAGAGGGGGGGTCAAAAGGATTAAAAGAATTGTACATTTCGAAGTATTAAAAAATTGCGGTCATGGTCTTCACCTGTTATTTATATTTTTAGCTTATAGAGGAAAAGTACTTTTGAAAGTTGAATCAAGACCTTGGGCCGCGGATTCTTTACCAAAATATTGAGACCTGCGTTCAGGCCCGAAAATGTGTTGGATTTATTATTACGTTGAATAAAGTAGAAGTCTCCCTAAGGAAGATATTATTCTATTGTTACATCTAAGTTTTGTAAATAATATTGTACCCGACGACTTTTCACTACAATTATATTGATGGCTTTGAAATTTATTAATAGAATGTTTGCTCATTTAATATAATACGTGCCCCTCGTTTTCGATTGTTATTATTATTCTCGAGTTTCTCTCTTATAACACAATTTTGTAATATTTTGTAATTTATATTGAATAATAGTCTCTGTTTCTTCGTTAAATTACTACGGTTGTTTCTTTTTTTACACTAGTGATAAATATCGACAAATGTAAGGTTTCAAAAAAATATGACGGCATAAACGTAACAACAATTAAAGCAATTCGCAAATTTATGATTCAAAGACTGATTATAACAAAATACTTTACCTGGTGCCCCATCCTTGTCGAATCCGCTTAATCCGTAAGGCAGATAAGTTTTTGCTACTTCAGGAATTTCCCAATTACTCAGATTATCAGCGTCCCAATGTTTCCGCCATTCTAGCGACTGTGAATAAATTTATTCCGTAAACAATTTGTTGCCATTTTAGTGGAAGATGATGAAGAAATGCGGCGTAATCAAAATTATCAGTGCTATATTACATTGATAAACATAATATATCTTTAATATTTTTAGTGTTTTATGTAACATTAATGTATATACATGTGCTGTTGTTTTTATTTTTTAATCAGATTTTAATAAATCTTAAAATCTATATATAAGAGATTTTTTTAACATTATTATTTTTTGTGCAACAGCGTGAAATTAAAAAAAATATATAATATAATGTTTTTTTTTTGTATTAAAATACTTTCGTATGAAATCTTCTCTATAAAGATGAACGTATTCATGTTGTGAAAGTTAAATTTCTCTCGTGGGAAAACGATAACAAGCTAATCGGAAACCAAATACGTCAACGTCCAGTTATTCAGCTGGACTCATTCAAAAGAGATGATAAATGAAAGGAAATGAGTCATGTTACATTTTCAATGAAAAACAAATAGGCGATATTAGTAAAAAAATAAAATTTTATAAAATTGTAACTAATGTGTCACTTAAAATACTTTGATTATCGTAACGTAAATAAACTGTAAAACTATATAATGTAAATAAACTATAGAACATATTTAAATTTAGCATAAAATTATATTATTAGTGTAAAATATAGTATAAAATTATTATTGAATTTAGTATAAGAAGCATCATATAATTGGTTCACCCAAATATTATACTTGTGACGGAAACTCAAACTAATCTTATTGTTCGATGCTGTTTTAACGTTCCGCATGTGTAATATCTGTATAGAATAATCGAGAATAATACAGCTTGTAGGTTTGTATGTTACGGTATAGCAGGTGCCGTTGGACTTTAGTCAGTCTAAGATGTTCGAATACGTGCTGCAGGTGAAAGAAATATTTCTCACAATTTACAGGATAACGGATTTCAGGAATAACAGGGTTTCACGCGGAATAGAAAGCGAAAAAGGGTAATTTCCTGAAGAAATTACTTCGGAAGATACTTAGCCGCATTATGAATCTCCGGTTTTCAATCATCATTGTGAAACTTCTCGTTACAAGAATACGGATGGCGACTTCGCGAGCGTGCTTCACAGAATCGGCACATTACTTTCGAGCTGCAAAATGGCACGTGTACAGAGAACAACTTTCTATTTCATATAAAACATCTTCGAGAGCAAAAAAGCGAAACTGTCGACGGCAAATCATATATCTTCAACGTCCGATACGAAACCCGGAAAGGTAGTTTCGTTAATTTACTCGCGCGAGGATTTAACTGTGATTGTACTTTGATTGGTGTTAGCGAATTATTTGGCTGTTATTTACGTAAGAGAAGATGGTTAAATTATCTTTACATTAATAAATATTATCTTATTGCAAAACATATTATATAATACGGAACGTGTAATACATGTTTAATATTAATTCATCCTCGTTATTAAATCAAAGAATCTTTATAAGAGAGAATTCGCGAAATTTATATTTGTTTATATGTCTTTGTTTAATTTATAATTTATGATGAATATATATATAATTTACTCTTGAAATAACATATCTATTATCGGACGAAGATATTACATATCTATTGTCATCTCTGTTGAGATGACATCTCTCGAGCATCTCTTGTCATTCTTGACTGTTATTCAATTCCAATCAATAGAACTTACTCATAAAAATAGACGAAGATTTCTTATCCAGACACAATAAAAGAAGTTCTCAGCGAGCTGTGACGCGACTCGCTAAATTTACGCTTGCCGCGTTAATATTTATTGACTCGCGAGTAATTCACGTGGCAGAGAAATTTTAAAGACTCGGTGACCGTATCCGGAACGTGTTTCACCAGACTTTCTCAATTGGATTCGCTTGCGTTTCGTATAATGCGAATAGCGAGCCTAATCTACGGGAACGGAGGTCGAATACGTAACCGGCGCGGCGTGGCGCCCAAAGACCGTGTAATGTAAAATATACTAAATGAAATGTGTGAACACAGGAATATAGATATGCAATTGCGATATCTTAATATTAATGTTCTTACTTACGTCTCTCAGCATTTTTTCCGCCGCGGTAGGGTCCCATTTTCTCGCTAAAGGAAATAAATATGAATTAATTTAAACTTACATTGCAAATAATGTCATATTTTATGATATATTTTTGAGAACTATCACATTTCCTAGCAAACACCAAGTAACATGCAATTACATGCTATAAGTTTTCCTGCTTGTAATTTCCTACTCAACAATGTAAATGCATATATAACACATTGAGCAGGAAATTATAATTAGTACGTAAGTCGCATGTTACTTGGTGTTTGTTGGATGGATTATCCGGTGAAAAGAATTTTGTTATATATATATATATATATATCTACAATGTTTAATATAATTTGTTAAAGGCATCATTTAAACCAAGAATGCGAGTATTGATGTGAAAATAATCGCGTAATTTGCAGGTGCATATAATACGAATACAAATTTATATTAATAATAATATTATACATGCGACAACATAGAAAAAGAAGAAAGCAAAATTGTTATTTATGTAGCACAAAATCACTGCGTTATTTACCTATTTAAGTAAAATTTTAATTAAACATGCAATTGATATAAACATACGTTTAAGAACGTTTTCATTGTTCATTGACAGTATAGGTACGTCTTGCAATACTTTGCGTGACTTACAGTTCTGGAAATAGCTAATAACCGATAATCTCGAGTTTCTGTGGTTTTCGTAGTTCTGTTTCAAAACAGTTTTGGCTCTGCTAAATACTGTTGCGAAATACACACACACACACACACACACGAAAGCAAACAAAAGACAATGGACGTCACGTCAATTAATCTTCGCGTGAATATTTCTCATGATGCGCGTGATCGCATTGTATACATGTAATACAGGACAACATTTATCGAAATCACGTAGCATGCCTTAGATGGTATTAGATAATTGTGGTTATCAGAAGGTAGGGGGAGGAGATCATACCTCTCAACCAGCGAAGCAGAAAGTGATCATCGTGGTGCGGCTGCAGGATGTCTTGCACGGACCGCCGGAACTGCACAAAAAAGAGAAGAAAGAAAATTATAGACTTGTTTTATTTACTTTTTATGCATCATATAACATTATTATTGTTGAAACGTTCGATTCTTTCAAACATTATTATTATTGTTTGAAACGCGATTTTACGATTTAGCGTGATTTATAGTTTTATTTGATTTATGAGTCACGAGAAATGAAGTTACTTAATAAAATATGCATCGTGTATGCATGTTCATCCATTCATGCACGCGTGCGCGTTGCAAACAGCTATTTTTCTGTCTACGTAAAAACACGTGCTTATGAAAAGCTTTGTACATTGTTTGATTGCAGTATATAAAGATTTATACGTTCGTTATTTACCATCATTATTCATTATTTATTCTTCTGGAGCGGCATATCGACTTCGTTTATCTTGCTTTATGTATAGTTTACGTCAACGCCAAGGTTTTTCCGCACACAATTATCAATTATGACTTTCAAGAAACGTATTTCCTATCTTTCCTTACAGAAATTTAATACTGTAAGTGATTATTTGGCTAGTGATTAATTACTTATTTCGAGTATTAAAAGTACTGTTTTTAATGATTTTAATACTCAAAATAAGTAATTAATTACTAGCCAAATAATCACTTACAGTATTAAATAAGGGTTGTGTGCCGTTAACGTATGAATACACGAGGAAGTGAAGTGAAACTTCCTCGTCGATTTCTGTAATTATCAATGTTGTCTCCGCGCGAGAGAAGGACTTGTTACATTAACTCGTATCGTAATCGAAGTATCTACTTTCACTGATATGAAAACGTAGGAAATTACGAAAAGCGCAGTTTGGTCGTAGTATTAAAATCACTCTTTTCATATATTCTATATGTCATTTATCTTCAAGAATATGCTCTTTTTATGGAGAAAAATCTGCATTTTTTATCGAGTAATGCGCGAGACAGTGTACGTTAACAAACTGACAGACATCAATTTTTAAAATTGGAGACAATTAAAAGCATCTTACGTAATTTTCCGGTTCGAGGATGTAATTACACAGTGCATACTGATTTGTTTTTTCACAACTCAGCTGATTTTTCTAAATAATTTTAATTTTCCCCTTCAGCTTATACTGTGCAGATATATAGCAATTATTACAAATTAAAATAAAAAATTTTCATACTTTTGTTCCAATGTGCATTCTCGTCCTTCTCACACATCTTGATTATTATTCAAAAAAATTGCTTTAGGACTTTGAAACGACTATCTATGAATCTATGAATCTACTTATGAATATCGTTCTAAATGGAAAATGCAAAGTATGTGTACACAATGATGGGATATTCACGCTAAAGATAAAAAGGAAAATAAATATTGATGCATACTGTTTATCATCAATTCAATCAATGTGAATCTTTCCTTTAGCGAATAAAACTATTCGCACAATCATTAACATTTTAATACTTATTGATTTATATGATTCACGATATAAAGTAAATATAACGTATAGCAAAAAAATATCATTGCAACGAAGTAACGAAATTCGTCTCGACTTTAAGATATCTTTGATAGATCTTAAAGGAAGATAAGATTATCTTTAAGAGTGGCATGAAATATAGGTTTTTAGTAGAAACTTGATAGTTGGGAACGAGATTAAAGCGTACGCATATAGTAGCGGTTAAAATTCCTCTTAGAAATAGCTGGCCTCTTAGAAAATCTGACTAATTATTTGATTAAAAAATCACCAATTATCTCTTCGCGAAACAGCCCATTGCATGTTGCATGAAATAACCGGTATGATATGATGGAAATATATGCCGATCTCTTGCATCATAAAAAGGTTATTATGGCACCGATCCCATTTCTTAGCATACAAAAAAATAAGGATGCAGACAGAAGCGAGAGAATCGGAATTGCTTATATATCATACGTCATCGTTATCGAGTAAACCGGTTCCTCTTTTTAAAAAATCTGAACTTATCTATATTTATAATTTGGACCTCTCTCTCTATATATATATAGTCTATATATACATATATATATGTGTACGTATATCAACAGAGAAGTATATTTGTATGTACGTCGGCTACAGTTAATCGTATTGTTGCGTAGGTGCTCGATGATCGTGTAACGATCGAACAGTTCTTTCTTTTCTTCGCCGTTTCGAACGTATAGCCCATAGTGCGTCGAGCGTGACTAGTGTTAATCGGAAAAAATGTAGGCTTTAATCGTATCCTGCACACATTGTCAATAGTAACGATTCTTTCTATTTTCTTTTAATTGCAAAAAGTAATCCCAAAAAGATAGCTTAAAAACTATATTAACTTTCACGTTGCTAACGACATTCGTATATTTAGGAAGGTTCATCGAATATTCAATAAGGATCGCGCATGTTTTGACCTCCGTCATGACCAACAGTAGTAGAAACTCACTAATAGTGGCACGATAATTGCCACAGAAATACAGTATTTTTTCTCGCATTTTGTACGAGAATAAGCCTCGAAAATAGAGGAAAAATAGAAAATGAAGATTTATCGCTAGAAATTTTCTCAAAAGTAAATTACGAAATATATAATCGTTTGAAAAGAAACCTGTGAATAATTACGCAAAATATTGCAATTTTCTACGAGTTATAGAAAATATCAAAAGTGAACTTTGAAGCAACTTATTAAAGCGAGATCTTTACAGTCAATTATACGATTGCTCTTTACGGGATAACTAATATACTTGTACCGAATAAAAAATTAGTGCGGCTTTGTAGCGAACATCACGCGTATTAAATACACGGTAAAAACGTTATACATATTTTCTACGATATCCTGGATGTAATAAGTAACATTAAACATTTTCATCCTCCGCATTGCACATGACGTTGGAAACGAGGAAAAATACTCGAGCAGTTTTTATTGATTGTTAATGATACATTATTCTGACGAGAAACTTATGAAACGTGACAAAAATCTCTTCTGATCTCAATTCACTATACATTACACAAAAATAACTCTAATACAAGCTATCCAGAAATATTTTAAAATGATTTTTAGAGATACCTATTATAATTATAAAGTGTGAACGCGCGACTATAGAAATAACCCGATTTTGGAAATCACGAAGTTAACGTTTAATTTTATTAATTATAAAATTTCATTTAGTTTTATTAATTGTAATATTTGAAATTTTTATTAATTATAATAATTATCTTTTATTCAGCATTAATGTTAATTGTTTCACAATTTCTATAAACAATACCAAGATCTTAGTCGTAAAGATGCTTCAGTAAATTGCGTGAAAGTGAATATTATTTTTTAAAAATCAGTATATTTATTAGATCTTGCGTTTCTTTCGGCATAACCATTTTCGTGCTTATTCTATACCTCGTACATCAAGCCAATGACTTTTATTGCAAATTTCTACAACGTTTCCACGACATTTCGCACGATTACCTCATCCGAGCGGACTGAGCCGAGGAAAACGTCATTTTATGCATATGCACACCGCGAGAAGCATTTCGTTTATTTTCGCGCCCGATGTGTTTGCATCCGATGTTGTAATTCAAGACAGCGGATTTTACGTATGCATTGAGGACTTTTAAAGTGTGCCGCGGGATTTGCCTGTGCCCGATTGTCTTCAGTCGCGGGGCCGTGACAGTCTCCGGACATAACAGATGAAAGTGTCATCATGTCGCCGACGGCGCCGGCGCGACGTTTTCCTCTCGATCAACAGAAAAAAAACGACGGTTAATTTAACCGGTCACATTAATAATTGATGTCAGACGAATTTAAAGACTATAGGCAATTAATAAATCTTCAATACACTTGTCCCGTACAAGGTGTTCTACTCTTTTTTTTGCGACTGATTTGGTAATTAGATGATATAATAAAACATTTTTAATATGAAAGAGACGTAATAAATGTAAAGAGAGAACCGGCAAAACTGGCGAAACAGGTTTTCTGCGCGTTTTCTGTTTATGAATTTTGATCGATGTATAAGAAAGAAGTTAAGTTAGTATTGAAACAAGATCATAGATCGAAACGACGACGGCTCTTTTCTTACTACCGGCGTAATCGGAAAGTACCATCGCCGATCTCTTCGCGATCCACTGCATCTCGCTGCTTGAAATAAGTGCTCGGCTGCTTACTACCCGTTCCAGATATCAGAGGTGAATGATCACCAGGTTGCGAGAGGAATGAAGCAATCTCTCTATACGCGCACTGAAGTCTTTGCCGTATCGCGTATAACGAAATTTTTATAACCCTATTGAGAAATCGCCTCGGTAAAGCTGGATTAACCTGCTTCCCTTGAAAAAAATCTTTCCCGAACCACTGCCCGTAATTTCTTTCATCAAGGATATCGGCAATATTTATTTTTAGCAATCTGTTAAAACATAAAGATTTTTTAATGCGAATTATATCCTCGAAAAAACTTATAAAATTCCAATATTTATTTTCACGACACCTCCACGGAAAGTTCGACTTTCCATGCCTGTAGAGAGGGGCGAAAGTGACAAAGTGGCCAATTTCACGCCAGGGCTTACTTTCCTCCCTAGGGAAGAAAATTGATACTTTCCACCCGGTATAGCGGGCTATTGGGCACTCTCGCTCCTCTCTAGGCATGGAAGTCGAACATTTCCGTAAAGGCGTTGTGAACAATATCGTGTGCACCTCGGGTCGAAAGCTTGTTCAGATTAAATTCGAAAAACGCTATTTTCTCCCCTTGGTGCACAATATACTATTTTCGTATTCTGTAAGCACGTGGTATCATGATGTTAATTTCTTTGTTTAATAAAATAAATTAGTCATGTCAGAGGAGGGATTCTGTAACTCCTTAACGACAGTTTCGGTATCGTTGTGCAAGCTTTCTTACCATACATACCTATGCGCAACGTTACAGAATCCCTCTACTAATGTCAAAAAAAAATTTTAATGATTATCGATGTTTACTCGTTTCTCAGACACACGAAGAAACATCTCAAGTAACGAACAAAAAATTGTAATATCTCAAATAACCCTATTTTATTTATATCTTCAACAGAAACTGAAAGCGATAGCTTTGTTAGTTTGCAAGTGCTAATTATATACTCACTGCGAATATACGATTAATATTAACTCATAAAATCATTGAACTTTCGCGGTTTGTTGAAATTTGAGAGATAATAACATTGTTTAGATTTTATTGTATTATACTTTTTGAAAAGTAGAACATTATTTTAATAATTTATTTAATTTTTTCTATTAATAATTATTTGTATATATCCGTCGATTTTATATTAAAATAGATGACATTCGCTTTGCTGGTAATAAAATTAAGCACGGAATATATTTATTTCTTGCCTGCGTATATGTTTTCTGTCAATAGTACACATTACGTTAAAATTAGTTTAATATAAATCTAAAAGATTTGAAAACTCTTTTATTACTTATAATTGCGAAATATATCTTTCATTCTGAAGGAGAAATAAGAGATTTAAAAAGATATCATGCAGATTAATAGAAAAATCAACACTCAATAACGTCAATAGGCCAACAGCGAAATAACATCATAAGAAGGTCACAACGATCAACGAAAATACGAGCAAAATAGGAATATTGATTTAAAATAAAATCTAATTTATTTTCAAGAATATATTGAAAACAATTGAACGTTTCGGCTGTACTTCGTCTTCTTCAACAACAATTAATTTAATATTTAAAAAAAATAGGAATATCAAGATTAGAAATGAAGGAAAAGAGGAAGAAAACATATAAGTTAAAATTTATACAAAAATGATTAAACTCATATAATAAATGAATAAATATTGCACAACGTTGGTCTGTTTGATAAGAAACTATTGCTAACCTTTGCCGCAGTGACCTCCTTATACGATAAAAAGATATCATTACATCGATACCTATATACTTTAGCTAAATGTCCATCACTTGTCCATGTCACTTTTTTATACAGAAAATCTATTTTTTTTCAATCTATCGTTTATTATTTTTTATAAGAATATCTAGAAAAGGATATACGTAGTAAAAATGTGCTTATATGTCGACATTTTATTAGTCTTTGATGTTCCCGCAAGAGTAAAAACAAGAGAGAGAGAAAGTTTTTTATTTTAGAATAAATTATGTCTCTGGACTTACCTTCATTAATGCAAATCTTTGATCGTCCGCCAATCCCAACGACATTTTTACTGCTTGAGCACTGTTAACAATTTAGTCTTAGTAAGTGTCTCTTCAGTTAAGTCTCGCTGGCAGATGATTTCTTTGAATTTGAAGGAGATGTTTGGAGCCTTTATATCTACAAGAAGAGATATATATATATGTATATCTAATCGTATCAACAATGGCAAATTTTTATCAAGATATATATTTTCACGCGTACATCTGTACTCTTATATCTCTTGTTACTGTTCAAATACGTAATACATTCGTGATATCGATATAGAATAATTATATAAAGCATAACAATAATTTCATCGGCGTTAAATCACACACAGGATATATAAATTCTTGAAATGATGACATTCGTAATATTTGTATCGATTAAAACAAAAGGAAATGCGCGATTTATGCGGTCATTTATGATCGATAAATTGTGGATTATAAGAATTACTTTTCTCCTTGGACTTTAGCTGGTTATATTATACGCATACATATTGAAAAAGTTGAAGATGTATTAAAGTTCCAAGCAATAAGATGTGTAAACATCTACGATATATTACCGTTCTTTTAATTATGATAAATAACAATTAAGACAATTCATTGATCCCCCATTGAGCCCCAAAACGAATGGTTAATTACAAAATTTACGTCATAATTCGATTACGTGATTAAACTGCAACTTGTGGTGTTTAATTATTGTCAATTTTGATTATTATCACACTTGAATTATATACCAAAAAATAAATAATTACGTAGAACATATAGTAATGTTTTTATCAGTAAATCATAGGCAGGTATATGAATCTTTGAATCGATAACGCGGATAACGTGACCTCCGTACTGATTGAGACTAAAGTTGTCTAAAAAAACGCGCAATTACTTCCAACTGATTATTTATTAATCAGTAAAGAATGGATTCTGGAAATTAATTATTCGCATGATTAATTATTTTGCTTCTTGGACTTTAGCTAATTATATTATATGCATATCCAATTAATATTGTGTAATTGAATTAATACAAGGTGTAATCGAGCAGATCCCACACAAGACATGAATTATCTATATTATCGTTTCTTCAATTATGACGAATGGCAATTTATTGAAAATCCATTGAGCGCCTCAAAACAGATGGCCAATTACAAAATTTGCTTTATCGTTATTGCATGATTAAAGTGCAACTTGTGATTTTTATTAATTATTATCGTATTTGAATACGTGAAGAAATAAAATACCGGCAATAATTTGCAATGTTTTATACAATAAAAACTTATATATCATCGAATCAATTATCTGCACAGTCACCATAATTATTACAATTTCCACTGATCTGTAGATGAAACATCTAATAACAATATTTAGAGGCAACGTAATGTCTAAGAAACATTGTAAAACACTTTAACATACATATGAACCTTTCAAATATGTTCTAGATATCATGTCCTTTCGGAATGTCGTGTTATTATTGTGCATGACGTTATCACTTTTCAAATTATAACGCCTGTTACTTAGTGCCAAATTATACTCAATTGAGTCATTTTTAACCATTCCTATAGGAAATAGTCGTCACTGCTCCTACTCAATATATCATTAATTTAACTTAATTGAAACAATGTTGATTTAACTAAACCGATGGCGTTAAAATAATATTATTTTGTGTTAAAGTTATAAATTTTGACACACATGCAGACAGTTAAAAATAACGAAATACTATTTAACTCAATATATTAGTTTAAATTTCAATCCTTTAATATTTAAGTGATATTTCATCCTTTGAAATCTAACAGTGATATAAGGTATAAACACAAAACGATAAACCGGTTTCACAGAAAATTATGTGATCTGTATTACTCGAATTATTGTTTACTACAAACGCGTTCGTAACGCTTACCGTATCTGGAAACACGGTGTACCAAAGATGCTCGCTAAACTCAAAAGTTGACAGAAATCGCGAACACCTCTCAGAAGATACCGGAGATCGGTCGTTGCGTTAATTCACTCGGCGAACACGAACCCGGGGGATCACGAATCTCGGACCCGCGATCCGCGACTGCTCGGCGTCGACTGCGGTCAGGTCGGCGGCGCAACAGGTGTCTATCGCGGCGACCGCGATTGCTGCGTGTGTGCGTGCGTGTGTTCGTGCGTGCTCTATTGCGCGCGCGCGCGCGCGCACGAGTGCGTCCGCACGCGGCTGCCGTTTGCCTTCACTTTACGCGTGTTTACGCGATCGCGCTCGCGAAGGTGAGGAGATATAGGTGTATCGACGACGCGAACGAGGCGAACGGCACCGGAGGAATGAAAATGATATATCGGCCTGTTCTCGGCGATGGCAAGTCTCCAAGTGCGCCGAGACCGTCTCCACTCCCCACCCAGCTTCGTGAGCTTCGTCGTCGCCGCGACGCGACGCGGACGCTACGACGTCGGAGAGCGCGCGCGATCTCCGGTCTCCTGAATCAAATTCGAACGATTTGAGTTCTCAGATCCGGGGCCACGGCTTCCCGGCTCCCTAAAACGGCTTTACCAGTTGCGTTTCGACATCGCGGCCGTGCGCAGGCACGTATTCGACATTTGAGGCGTCACCACCATCACCACAGCATCACAGAATGAGGTCCATGCGGTCGGTGCGACGTGAGTGCATCGTGCTCCGGCGACGATGCGGCGCCGAGTCTGAGCACTCCGAGCTCGGCACGCGGCGCTTCGTGAGTAGCTGCGTCGTCGTCGTCGTTGTCGTGCATCCTAATGCTCTCTTAACCCAAAGGGACAAACTTGCATAAACGCATAAGCATAAGAAAATTGATTGGTCCGTATACATGTGTATAAGGAAATAGAAGACCAATTTGTGCTTATGCACCTATGCAAGTTTGTCTGGATAGACTCTAAAGTCTAAAGGATTCCCAAGGAACGATGTTAATGCTTCCAGATCCATATTTATAAGCATACCTCATTGTTCAGCGTTGCGCTCTTGTCAGCTAATACCTGCACGTGCGGCGTGAGACAATAATGAATCTGCGCTTCTATTTAGCTCGCCGCTAACGAGACATTACGGAGCGCCTTTGTGTCTGAGATACAACACGTGCGTAGAACGCCAGGTATCAGAGATTCCTCTTGAGAATTTATAACTCGCATTCGACGCATTAAATGTCATCGTTCAATTTTAGACGCGGATCCGTTGTTTTTTTTAGCGCCGACACATTCAGCAATGCAGATTTAAAAATCGCTCACCGCTCGCCGCTCTTTAATTCGAGAGGTCGCCGTGAAAGGAAAAACAAAGTCATATTTAAAATTCCCGTGCGATTGTGTACTTCAGGAGAAATCGTAACGCGACTTGCCTTCAAGGTCAAGCTTAATGTCCGACGAGCTGAACGGCGACGTAATCGTTCTCAATCTCACTGGTAATCATCTGATTCTACGTAACGGGAGATTCAGCACCTGATCCGCACATAAGCGGAAATTTTCCAATCGACTTTATAAACTAGGTAACTAATTCACGTGCAGCTCTGTGTCACGCTTTTACCGTGTGCGCGTGTGACGTGAATTAGCGTCACGCTGAAGTACGAGCGAAACGAGAGTCATCGCTGCGTTTCATTGATTCATCAACGATTGAAAGTTCCCCGAACGGGACACATTTACCAGACTAGATCATTGTGACAAACAAAGAAAAAAACTATTGATTTACATTGACCCGTGCCCCTGAAATAGCGATTACGATTGATCGTGTTGACGAGGTAGACATTGTTGTCGTATCCTTTTAATGGATTGTAGCAGGTTTCTCCGTTAACTTTCTTTTTTGCGAACTAAAGTAACGTTCTTGTATCACACGCGAGCTAAAAGTAAAGATGCGTAATACATTGTAGAAAAAGAAACATGATTTATTATTTTATTTTTTGATTTTTTTTTTTAGCAAAACTTGTTTGTGATTTATATTACGTAGTCATTAGTGTCTTAACGTATGAACTTATAGGCGCGTATTAAAGTTAATTAAAGGATAAGTGCTATAAGTGCTAAAATTCATGTGTTAAATAAAAATTAAGTCAAGTTGCAAAACACTTTGCAGAAAAAGAATAAAAACCTTTATATATTTGTTTTTTTTAGCAAAATTTAATTATATAATCGACATACGGAATTATTAATATTTTAATGCACGAATTTGTAGATGCATATCGAAGCACATATCTCGTTTCCCGTATACACTTATCGATATAAAATGGCAAAATTCATGTGTTGAATATTAATGACTTTGCGTGTATACACTTCACTTTCGAAAAGAGAGCTCTAGCTCCGAGAATCGCTGTATTTGTCAATACATCGTACTCGTTTTTAACACAAGTAATATTTGCATAGGGTAAAAATTTCTTTTCCGAAATTCTACTAACATTTGCTTGCATCTTTTGGGAACGAACAATGTAAATTTAGAATTAAAATTTACTGCAAACAAGAGATGAATCGATAATGAGCGATCTGTGTCTAATTGATGCGACGCATGTGCATGTATTTTTATTTTCTTTGTGCCATATCCGCTGAGGCTGCACAAATCCATTATTCTCTAACGAGCTAACGAGAGATTCATTATATCGCAACGACGCGCCATGCACAGCTGGTGGCGTTATCTGTTGACAGATATGGACACTTTTTTCGCATTGATCGTCGAGCTCGGTCGTATTATTTGACTTCCACACTTGCCGAATTCGATTGTTCGAAATTTTCGAACAAATGCATAAAACGCGCCGAGCAACAATTCGAAATGATGAACGCAAAGCATGACATTTCAGATTTCAGCCAGTCGATATTCTCGACTTTTTTTTAAATAGGACTTGCTTGAGAGTTGAGCCACATAAACCGACTATGCAAATAACAGGGCATATATACACATATGTATATATTTAGGTGTTTTAGAGAAACACATTGCGAACTCGGAGCCTGTTATATTGTGTTCGCTAAATATAAATATGATGATATATGTTATCCATTTACGGCTTGAACGTTGTATAAATATTATTCTCCATATACATGCCGATAAGCTAGCGCCTATAAATTCACGTGGAAGGCATAATGACTCGAGAGCAACGAAACTTCGATTAACTTAATCAGCGATGAGGTCAACCTGTAAATTTAGCTGTAAAATTTTGAAGTTTCTGACTCTATGAATGGTATTAAGTATGATCTTAAGTACGATCTCGAGACGCTGTACGGTTATTTCATGGTTGCATGGATAGAATTTAAGACTGCCTATAGTCAGATTTAAAGCGATTTTGAATATAAGATTGGATTATGAATGTACCGTTTGCCTTGTAATCCGTCTAATTCTTATTTTCATGTTCAAACAAAATAAAAAATTGACAATTATACCCACTTTTAATGAAGTACCGCGGGTAATATTTAATAAATCAATCACCGAATAGCGATACACCCTGCATTGTTGTATTAACGTAGAATTATTAATTTTTAGCTGTTTATAACCAACAGAAATAAAGATTAGATCAGGAACAATGATTTTACTTTGATATATTTACTGCCTCGTCATTCATCTTGCGAGAGCGTCTTGTCATTCAAATACGAATGACACCAAATTCTTGTGAGAAATCTCAATAGCGCAGAGTGATGTTGAAAGACGGCATAATGATGCCCATTTTGGTCTATTGTTGTCTATTAGACGTCCTTAGACGTCGCTATCGTGTCACTGTCTACCTGAAGTTTTTACAATGAAGATAATGAAGAAATGATGACTTCAACTTCCGAAGTCATCATGTTCATTTTCATGAAATTGGGTATCATTTGTAATTTACATGCTCTGCAATTGATGACGTCAATGTATCAAGCAATATTCTGCCGATTGAATTAATCGTCAATTTAAAGTTAATCGGAGAGGCCTTTAGTCGAGGCTGTCCTAAGGGCGATTTTTAGTTTCACAATTCGCCTTTTAGTTATAATTCGCACTCTAATCTTTCTTTCTGTGCGTTGAGCAACAAAAGAAAAAATAATTCTATCCATGTTAACGAAACGCCAAACGGTAGAGGTATATCATTCGACAAGTTAATCGCTCGGTTAAGTTAGTCGGAAGTTAGTTGGAGCCATCTTAACACGTTGCCTCGAATTGTAAAAGTATAAGCGCCGTATGACGGACAGTATGACGCGCAACTGCAAGTGTGTGTGCAAGTGCCGCGCATCTGTCTATATATCGCGGGTACTGGCCGTTCGGGGTGGTTCGGGGGTTGCGACGAGGAACTAAGGAAGGTCGCGACGTGTGACTGCTGACGTTGACGTGTCGATCAGCGAGCTCGACGTGGTGCGAGCGCGGTTCCCTCAGTTCCCCGTTCCCAGACGGTTTCGACAGTTTTTCGCGAGTCAGCTCCAAGTCATTTTCGCGAGGCGGACCGAGGCGCCTCGCGTGCGACCGCGACCGACCGCGTAGCGAAGCATGCGAATCGGACGATCGTATCCCATCGGCATCGTCGAACGCCGTCGTGTCCCACGGGAAGGAGGAGCAGGAGCGAGCGAATCGTGCGGCGACGGCGACGGCGGCAGGGTCGATACGTTGACTTCAAGGGCGCGCGGATCACCCACGCAGGGTCGCGGGCCAGCCTTTGCGTAAGTCAGATTCCTCGAAAATGATACACCCGTTTTGTACTATCTGGTGGACACAGGCATGTGATATATAAGACGATTGACGTGGTAGCCTGATAGCTGATAGCTCACGAAACGGATGGAGTTTGCCGCATCGCGATCGGACGTATAGGTTATGTTTCTCTGATGTAATTTGACGACGCTGGTTCAAACATGTAACGAAGGAAAGGGAAAATGTGCGTACGCGTTGGAAACTGATTTAGAATTTTTATGACTCCGTTTATTATATTATTTATATTATTGCGATAGCTAAAATGTTTTATACATTTTTATAATTAATTTTGATATGTATTTTGAATGATATACTCGGAAGAATTAATTAAATTTGTCGTTGTGCATGTGTGATTTTAATCTGTGTGATGCGGTGGAGTAAATATATGTTGGAGTTCATGCGGCTTTTTAGCATGAATATGAAAAATATTGATCTTCCATGTATCCACAGACTTATTTATTATGCATGCGTTTAAAATGTTTTGAGAGAAAGAGAAATAGAGAGAATGTTTGTGTATTTTTATATCAAATTTCGTTTAACCGGTTTAACTAAAATATTCTGTGATGCATTCAAAGTAGACTGCTGTTTAGCGAAAATTTCACAGAAGAGAGTTTATTTATTCCAGTTCTTTTTGTGGCATTTGGAACTTAAAAGCTGTTGACGAAGAAAGAGATTTTAAATCACAATTTTTTCTAAACTTTTTTGCGGGTGAAGTTTATTTTGCAACGGAATTTTAATGCTAATTTACAACTTATTGACCTATACTGACATGATATTTTGGCAGACGAAATTTTTTATTTAAAATTTTAACATTGCGAAATTAAATAACGAAAATAAAATATAACTTAGTTTGCATTTTAAATAATAACTTCTTTGCTACATCCATGAAGAACATAAACATTTTATTTTTTTCTTCTATGCCTATGACGCAGGTGTTCTTATTTATATACTAATTGCAATCATAACATTAATAACATTACGAATTCCAAATCCAGGAAATATCGTTTGATAGTTATTAATATCTATTAATATCTTTAGCGCGATCAACAAAATTCCTCAACGATTACATCTTCACTAGATTTATATAATCTTTTAGAATACATAAATTCGAACGGGAAGACGTATACAGAGAGATTACTTTTCCTTTCACATTTTGTTGGTATGCGTATATAATTTTGCGAATTAAATAAGTTGAAGTAAACGCGAGTTCTATTTTTGTCATAGCGCGACATAAAACAAAATCACATAAACCTTCGCAAAAATTTGTAAACTTGACGTCAAAGCTGAAGAGTATTTGTAGACATGTCAGAAACTCTGACATAAATACTCGTCAGATTAAATAACGACGCGATTTACGGATTTAATTACGCAAGAGACCTGCGTCTGACACACCCACTTACAATCAATCATCTCGATGACATAATATTGATAAAAAAACACCCAGCGCTGCTTCGGGAAAAATTCTACTATACAATGTCAGGGAGTTCTTACCATTCTTAGGGCTGGTTGTTCCAGCCTGTTGCTAAACTACCTAATAGTTAAATCATATGTATGCCTTTGTTTATCCTTTACATTGGACAAATATAGACATGTGATTTAACTATCAGGTAGCTTACCAATAGGTTGGAACAACCGGCCCTTACTATTGTTCCTTGATCCTTTCAGTTTAAAATAAGAACTTTTCAATCAATATATCAGATTCGATTAATTGGAGCAAAAAGTGACGAACGAGGAACGTTTACAAAATTGTTCTCGTTGATTTTGAGATATTTTTATTTTATCACCAAAATTATTTACTAGATAGCTGTTATTTGAAAATCTTTCGTACGAAACGATACTTAAGGGTGTCGGGGTAGTTAAGAGCGATTGTTGCCGATGTTAATGGTGCGTTAACTCGGCTCGTAAAAGCTAGCCGGGTGGAATGGAGGGTGTCGGCAAAAGCAGCGACAAGAAGGGGTCAAATTAAACACTCTGCAAGATTTAAGCCAATGGATACGGTGACTATCGTCGCACCTGACGCTGATCGACTGCAATATTGATGCAGTCAGATTTTTTCGCAGGCTGATTGTGAGATATAATACTTCGTTGGGCTTAAAACCCAATGGGATGTAATTTCAATTGATCTCGACGCATGAAATTGGTCTCTATATTTATTCGTGACCAACAACTGATTATGGCTCGTTGGAACGATTGAATCAATCATTGGAAACGATTAAATTTCTACGAGTTGAAATTTCGATGCTGTAAACATGCGGAGTATTCTTCACGCCAGTTATAGTAGCGTACATGTATTTTTATAGTTTTGCAGCATTTTTATCGTTTTTTAATTTGTTAGGAAATATTCCAATTTCAATCTCAACATATATGTGATTATTTTTATTTGTATGTACGCAACTCAGAGGAAATATTTCGTCCTGACGCTATCGACCCCTTTTTAAGCGATCGCTTTTTTTTATATAATTATCACGGTGTTATGACGTAAAGCTTGAACTTCGATATTTAAACTTTAAACGATAGATATAGGGCTGCATTCTCCACTTATTGCTCACAACGCTCGCGAGCATCATTTCATCCTTGTTTAACATTTGACAAACAACAAGGATGAAATAATTCCACGAGCGTTGCGAGCGATAAGTAGAACGCACCCATATAGTTGCATGTGCACAAATAACAATATTTTTTACTGTAATATTTTTTTATCGAACCTCATTAACCACCAACAATGTCAATTAATCTTTTAAGGAGTGTGATTGGTTCTGTAACAAACTGAATTTTTAACGAGACCGTTGTCAACCAAGAAAGTTTGAAAATAATGCCAGGCTTCCCTTAGCTAAGATTTTCGGATCGCCATGTAACAGTTGATTCGAAAACAACCTTTTCTCACATCACCAAAAAACACCAAATAACAATTTCTTGTTTTATTAAATAATAACGGTCGAACTAATGAAGTTACAGGAAACAGCTCGGAATCGGCAGCTTACTTAATCGCGTTACTTTTGAAATCTGCCATTAACAATATTTATATCGTCTATCGGGATACCTCGTGCGTCTGATTGCATACTTATCGCGAGATAAATCGTGTCTCGCGGTGCTGAACGGTCCACTGCCGGCCCGCGTTGTTGCGGCAATCGTCGTCGATCTGCCGTTGCGCGCTTTCACGACGCGACGCGACGCGTGATAAGCGACACGTGAGAAAGACGGAGAGAGAGAGAGAGAGAGAGATTCCAGTTTTCTCGGTGACCGGTGTACCGTTGCTTTCCACGCTCAACTGACACGGCCGGGCCGTGGCTTTTCAACCGATACTCCGAACGAACGGCCTTTCGAGAGCAGCGTGCCAGTCGGCATTCGCGAGCGTAACGCGTACAGCGCGTTTCTTTTCCGCTCCGAGGGCGCGAAGCGGTTTCCGTTCTTGCACGGATTCCTGCGTTCCGCGAGTGTTAACGGGAGTTCCCGGGAGTCGCGCTCTTCCCGCTGGACTCACGTGGGCGATTCACGCGGTGTTTCGCGGCCCGATCCCCTTTCCATTTATCGAAGTAACGCGTTAGCGCGCATCACGGTAAAGTCGGTATTTCTGTATAGTTCTCAGTGCGAGTTAGTTTGGATTTCTCTGTGCTATAAATACCGAGAGGAATGATATTTATAATGTTTAATCGTGATAATGGAATTAAACGCCAACATGCGCCGCGCAGAATACATTTCCGCGTATCTATAAAATTTGAAACCGTATCGAAAAATTTTCGTTGTCATTAGTTTTATCTTCGATTTATTCGGTATACGAATAACTGTTGCTCGCGAGGCTCATTTCTAATTCCGAATACGTAGTTGCTAATATTGCGACCCATTTCGCGCTTTCCTTTGCGAACATGGAACCCCGTCGACGTGTTGATATCGGCACCTGTAAGTTCTTTAAAAATTCTTTAAAAACGATTTTATCTCTATTAATTTTACTTCTTCATTCATTTTGCTAAGCTCATTGGCTTATCATTAACAAAAATAAGCTCGATTTATCCGATATATCTGTAATTATTTATATTTTTAGTAATATACGCCAAGTTAAAAATGCGCTCGTCAAAGAGTTATAAATTTTCCGTTGAAGAAAAAGATTATCTACATATAATTGCGAATGTTTATCATCGCATTCTTATCTTTTTAGTTTACCTTGCATTGTTTCTGTGCAGAGTGCAAAGTACGTGTGTATATGTTTAGTTATCGAATGCCTTCGCAATTTTTTAAGATATCGACGTAACAACGTCCGGTTTCGTGAAGGTAAACGATAGTCGAGAAGTTTAGTCGCTAATGAGGCACAGTGACTTTGCGAAAGACTCGCCAATTGGAATTATTACTCGTTTCTCCTCTCGTTCGAGCCCGGCGTTGAACAAATTTTCGTTTCGGGTTTTCCTCGGTATCGACCTCGAGAGAAATCAAAACAGTCCGCGACTGTATTCTCGTGTCTGTAAGTTAAGCGCACATGTACGAAACAGACTTTTTAATCACAGCACAGCTTGTATAATTGCTCATAAGTCGTGCAATAACAGGATACCGCGAATAATAGGCTGCCAACGTAACAATAACTCACGTACTCGCTACTCTGTCCAGTCATCTTCGACGCGAAGACAGGAGTTCCCGAAAAATGGGCATTCTTGAGTATATATAATGGTAAACGTCTCTGGACGTTGATTAATCGCGCGCGAAGAAAGAACGGAAAGGCCTTAATTAAGATTCTAGGATAACACCACCGCTGTAATAAATATCACCTCGCATTTATAATCTACGCCATTCCCATCTCGCGTTGCACTTCTCCTGAACTGGTATTTATTGCAACCTCGCCGGTATTATTATTTATCCTTCCGCGGCCTCAATTTTCGAGATTGTGTATCGCATATCCCGTTATGTTTCTTATGTGAGATTATTTTGAGGACGAAAATAGAAAATGTTTTGATTAATTTAATTATGTGCATTGAGAAAAAAACATTTAGATAAAAAAATTATTTATCTAGATTGTTGCCAAGAGCTTATTTACTTAATATAATATACATATTTATGCAGAATTAGGTAGTTATTTTTACTTAATTTAAATAAATATATTTAATTCTAAATAAATATGTGTATAAATATGTGGGTATTATATTAAGTAAATAAGCTCTTGGCCACAATCTAAATAAATATTTTTTTGGATCTAAATATTTTTTTAGTGTGGAAGAAATAAAAAAATCGTTAATTTACAATGTTAATTAGCAATTAGTCAGTCAGATAGATAAATATCTCATAAATGTCTTTTATATAATAAATTATTAATTCAAGGACAAGAGAATGTACTTTTACGTCATGTTTCCGCGAAAGAAAGAACGTATCCTGGTGATCCGAGCCTCTTTTAACTATTAGGTATTCAGCGCATTGACAAATATAAAAAATTAACAGTCATAATAATGACACGTGAATCATCGTCGCGTTCACGAGAGATCAATTAATGGCATTCGGCCTTTTTCGCTGAACGATCCCGACGATCCCGTCATCTCGCGCGAGAAGAACTTCTCGACAACGCTGTTTATTGATTCAGGCTTCGACGGGTTTTCACAGAAAACATCGGCCGCGTAGTATCTACGAAATTTATTTATAATCGATCGTAACCGTAAATCATCTGCAAGTCACGACAACACACTGATCCTGATCGTTTCGCTTACTGTCTGTTTTAAGTAATAACATTGAACGCTTTGCCTATTAAAAATACATAAAATAATGATTCAATAGAAAAAATGTTATTTAAAGAAAATATATACAGAGTATATACAACATACATATATGTAAGTAGCCATTCCTTTTTACTTTTTACTTTACGTTGAAAAGGATAGACCAATAAAGTTCAATTTAATACTTCTAATCGATTAACTCTATTTGTGAGCCTAAGCGATAGCTTGTCCAGTCGAACTATCGAGTACGCGCGTACGGAACAAAAAAATTTGAGCTTTATCTCGCCATAATTCTTTTTAACTTAAGAGAGATAAAAGGAAGGCCGTTATGGCCATTTATTTCGAAGGCGAGATTAAGTGGGGCACCCCCGTAACATTTTTGCAAGGAATGCATCTCGGTCTTTCGTTCGTTACGAGTAGGTGTCAAATAGATCAGACAGGCCGCGCTAACTATAACTAGGCTACCGGGGATGCCCTGACCCTGACTACCCACGGCAAACGAACGTATCGTCTTCATGGCGTAAAGAGTAGGCGACCGCATCCTGGACGGCTGCCATCGGGAGATCTAAATAGAACTACCTACCGTCTTTTCCGACGGCGGGACGACCACTTGCATGCGGCCGTTTCAATAGATTCCGTTCCATTGCGTCGACCATTTGCGCGAGAAGTGCGAACGTCTCATTAACCGATGGATGAATAACGATCCTAAAACTGTAGTTGCGCATATAGCGTGGGTGCGTCCCCCATCCCCCGTTTTAACCGCAAAATGTCTACACTGCTGAACGTTCAGACTACTATTCTGGTACAAAGTGGAGCGCTATATGCCTGCCAAATGTACGTTACATTGTATATGAAATTATTTTGTTAAAATAAGAACTGATGCATCTTGACAGCATGAGATATTATTTCTCCATGCATGCGGGTTCCATATGCATTTTTTTTTTTATTGTAAATTTTGTTTTAGTTAATGATGCCGAACTATTTAATTTAAAACCTTTGACCTTTTACTAAACTTTAATAGCACATTTAAAATTTAAATCAACAGTATATTTCAATTGTCAAATTTGAACTATTGATAGGACTTTTTATTTTTATTTGCGTCACCATCTGCGTGGTTATCAGCTGTTTCTTTCAGTTGCTTCAGTTGTTACTGCTAAAGTTGTTACGTGAATGAGTAAAGGAAATTTGATATTCCAATCTAAGGAGAGAGGTATATCAAAAACAAATTGCGAGAACGAGAGAATAATAAAACACATCGAGACAATATTCTATAAGCTTAGATCTGGAATATACTCTATAATCTATAACTTTCGTTATGTCTAAACCTACTGGCCAGTTTATTATTATGACAATCTAGAATTTTGAGATCAAATGGAAAAAATATTAGTCAATAAAATTTTTCGATAATTACGTGCTGTTCCGTTACTTTTTTATCACTTCATTTTCCTTCTCATAATTTTATTTTTTATCGATTCTTCGAACGTGTTTGACATTTTACACACTAATGCGAAATGTTTGAAATCTCTTCTCAGAAAAAATATTGTAGGAAACCTCGAGAATTAATGAGAGCATCCGTATCATATTTCTAGCTGTTTTATAACATTGAAGTTTGAAATATCTGCGCAACTCGGCGAAATAAAATTATCTTGAAAATGATTGTTTGATTAGTTATTCGAACTACGTATGTCGTTCTAGGACACGGATAGGAAGTCGGCGTATAGTGCTGACGTGTACTATTGTCAGGAGTCACGAAAACATATCGTTTTGTAAAAAATGAAGAAATAATAACGTATTTTTTCTGCTTTTGTGTGTGTTAGACCTTATAAATAAAAGTGCGGGCACACACGTATGTGACGTAATGCGCATTTATGCTTAAACGTGCCACGTGCCTGTCAGAAACAAAGTCGGGTAATTTGTGGAAAAAGATATCGCGTCTATGTAATTTATATGATGGCGTCACACACGTGCCCACTTAGTATAAATGCAGTTTCGTAATTTCTACAAAGAAACATACGTGCTGTCAATGAAGCTTGACGCTCCCAAACCTCGATATATATGCGCGAACTTCGAGCTGTGCAGATATTCGTTTGAAGAGCGATCATGTATCAATCGATTAACGCTGATTTATTTAATTAAATCGAGTTATTTAACTTGCGTCAAACATAACATTTCGTTATGTAGATTATTATTGACTAAAAAAATTCTCAGTGTCCATAGCAATCAAAATGAAACTCTCCAGTAAAAGATGCTTTGTGTTTTAGATATCTGAATTTGCTTGCAGCATTTCTATTATATTCTTTCTTTTTTTTTTTGTTAATAAAGAGATGGAGTTTTTAAAAGTTGTATAAATCTTACTGTTTCTATGTATAAAGCTGAAGTATCTTAAAAAATATGGGTTGGAGAAATATCACGAATATTCATATAAAAACGGACTAATGTTAACTGCGAAATGTGCAAGAGAAGCGCTAAAAAGGATATAATTGAAAAATGTATATCTCGCAATGATAAAAAAATCAGCATAAAATTTTATATGAGTTTTAAACTTTATTTAAAAAGATGTGAAAATATGGCCAGTAGAAAAGACATAATTTAAAGTAACGACGAAAACGTTCTAAAACGTTAATTAAAACATTAAATTAAAATTAATCCGCAGTAATGTTCAAGTACCTTTTTAAAATGATATTCCTCGATTATTGACTGATATTATCATGATATTATCGATTGATGAGTGTAAGAAATAAAAATCAATTTATCTTAATATGTAATTAATATTGATTTGTTCGAGTCTTATCTTATATATTTAAACAGCAAAATTTCTACTTAAAAATGTTGCTTTCACACAGACAGCAATATAAGAATTGAATTTGAAATGTCCGCTGACATTTTCATGCTTTACCGGAATGAATTCCGCGAACATTTTTTCCAGATAATATCGTTCGTGATTTTCGCGATCTATTACGACTAACAAGCAAAAGAGTCTTACTCTTTGTCTTTTTTTTCCTTTTTTTTAGTGCTGCATAGTGCACAAATGAATCTCGCGACGTGATATCTTGCAAGAACGTTGCGTCAACACAAGGAATAATACGTTTTCGTAATCATAACGATGTCTGCGCCGTGAGCATATATAGCAAACAAAAAAGAAAATTATGTATTTCCTTCCTGTGCTACCTAATTACACCAAGTATTATCTTATTTTCATTTTATTTCTAGTATTTCAGAAATATATACGAGTGCATATTTAAAAGTACAAGTTTACGTTATTTTTACACGTGTGTCCGTTACGTATAATCTACATTTTATACGTTTGCTATTATTTAAAGTATCGCGCGCCGCGAAAAAGTTACGCAAAAAACACTCGAGATCTCCGCGAAAATATTATTCACGAACGCCATTATTCTTTATATTATTAATATTTATAAACTGAGAAAAAAAATATAAGTTGGTTCAACGAAATGTTTCATTGCGGGGTGCCAACGAAAGATGTACTTATTGCAATAATATTTGCTATTGCAATGTTAACATCATAATTTATTGTTTCAACATCATGTATTATTCCTTAGATATATATTTTTTCTGATTGCTAAAACGTAGTCTTTTATCAAAAATATGCTATATACATAGTTGGAGGATCTTTGAAATACAGGTTTAGATGGCAAGAAAAAAGATTATAGTTAATAGGACGTATTTACCACCAATCAATTGCGAATTTACTTTCACAAAATGAATACAGTTGTCGCAATAATTTTTGTAATTGATAAGACATCGTAATTAATAAAATTGCATTATTTTACTTAAACATTTATTTATTATTTATTTATTTATAGTATATTTTTCAATAACACAGATGCTATTGAATCAACAATTTTTTTTCTCAGTGTATTTATACATGATATCGGGAATGAGGCAACGCGCGACAAACATAAAATATGAATTAACGCGGAACGGAAAATATAATGTGTAGCGGGAGAACCGCGAATAAGAGGATTGTTACTGAAACCGCGAATAAGAGGTCGTCAAGGAAACAATCATGTCCGAACAATGGCAATAATTCATCTTATTTTCTTTTCTGTCGGGGAACGTGTCTTTTTACTACAGCAATAATATAAGACTGGTCGTTATAAGACTGGAGAGAACGGCTTGTTAAGTGTATTCCAAACATTGTGATTGTTCATCCGCAGATAAGAAGCATATGAATGAACGTCTCTTTCCATATCTGTCTCGTCGAGAGATACTCCGCGGATCGCCCTGCGGTTATTCCCCGTTACGTATGCGATCTTACGTCGCATTGTGTCGGAGATCATAAGAATGTTTCCTCCAACACGCCATGTCACCGCAATCAAACGGTTCGCGCGTCGGCGGACGGCTGGTCGTTCGGCGATCCTCGGCCGGTCTCGGCGGCGCTCGGCGATCTTCGGCCCGCTTCGGCCGCGTTCGGCGTTGTGTTGGCGCCGCCGGCCGCTCGCCTCGGCCCGTTGGCCGCACTCTCGTTCATCTGGTTCATCAGTGCGCTGCCTGCGCTGGTCGGTGTCCTCTTGTGATTATCATTTGTGTCGCGCGTCTTTTTAGCTAGTGCGCGCACGAGCGCGCGCGCTCTAAATTTTCGAACGCGCGAATGGTGTGCCGGAGTCTGTTTTGACCGTGTTCTTGACGTGGACCAACGATGCGATAGCATCCAGGAGAAAGTGACGCGCGCCGAGAGGAGGACCGACAGAAGGAGAGCAGAATGTCGAGCTTTCCGTCCGGCATGATTTCGCGACGTTCGCCGATCAGTGTCCCGGGAATGGTAATAAAAGAAAGAATAGACACCAATCTCTTCCTGATTTATCTTGTCACGTCGTCGTCGGCGCGCACGAGTGACGAGTGCTCCGTTCCGTGCGCGAACTTCCGCCGCTTCCGCGTTATCGTCGATCGCGGAAGAATAAGCTCGTTGTGAGGACGATCGCGGTTCGCTGCGCGCGAGCGACGATCCATCGTATGTCACCGTCACACGGTCTGCGTCTGCGTTAATCGCGATTTAATTCCGTACGCGAGCCGCAACGGCGGCGGAATCGTATACGTGGCGTTCTTTGGACCCCCTGTATTTTTAGTGATATTGGCAACGGCGCGGCCGCTCTTGGATGACGGTGACAACGCGATAACTGTCTTTACAGTTTATGCGAGAAAGCGAAAAGAGACGCGTACGGCCGGCCCGGTAGATTCGCGACCGACCGAAACTCGCCGCCTCGCTTCTATGTTTGTCCCCTCCGATTCGCCGCCGTCCAGGCGGCAGGGTTAGTGGTTACGTATATATCGCGATTTGTTGTATGTTGGTACCACACCAGTGGCGTAATCAACGGCGGTTGGGTCAAAGTGCCGATATGTCAGCGTGTCTGCGATACAAAAAAAAAACGGAGCAGTGAGCGGCAAGTAGAAAAAAGAGGAAAAAACCAGATACGGATCGTTAAGTTGATTATATGTATCGGTGGCGTATGTATCTCTTTGTCTTATGCCTCGTTTGCTCACGGCACGTATTATGCGTCTTATTTTGTAAAATAGTTACCGAACTCGACGAATTAAGACGTAAAATAATGATGTTGTTTAAAAGAATCAAGAGTTTTTCCAAGTATTTCTATAATACTGTAAAAAATCTTAGATATTTATTTAGTATAAAAAAATGTAAACGTACATTTATATATAACAAGAATGAAAGCTTTAATCTGCATAAATATTAAATACTAAATATTTCTAGATTTATAAAAAATGTGAAATATAATTTGTATAAATGTACATTTTTTGTATAAGTGTGTTTAATATTTGTACAATGGAAATGTATATTTTCATTAAAAATCGTATAATTCGACACAAACGGTTATCGTAAATCGTACGATTTTTTTCGATCGTATTATTTACGATAATTAAAAATATGAATTTTTATATAACATGTATGATTTTCATACAACGGAGATGTATATAATTTTGTACTTGTTGCTTGTATACTATTTATTATTATACTTTTTAGTGAATGAAGAGATTCAGATACGTCGATTATACGCCACTGTGTACAACGGCGACAGAATAGGACGATTGCACGAATACTAAGGGCGATTATCATTGCCGGTGTGAGAGACGCAAAGCCGTTTTAAATGAATCAGCGTTTAAAATTGTAATCCCTCCGGGCGATAAAACGTATTTGTAAACCACCACCTAGATGTGACTCTCGCGAGACGAAACAATCTGAACGGATATGGATATATGAGAATGTAAGGCTGTTGGTTGATTACATCAAACCTATTTTGTTTTTGGTTATATTTGTTCCGATATTTTTTTATTTTTAATAAAATAGACTTGCAAGGGTTCATATCTTAAGAAAAATTTAAAAAAGTAAGTTTAAGAAACTTTAACATAGTTTATTTCTTTGTGTCATGCGCGGTTTGTCGATTAAGTTCCGCTAATTCATCAATTACCACCGCGAAATTTTCAACGAACAATCGATATTTAAGAACAAAAGAAAGGGAGAGCAATATCTACTTTATATCGAATAATCTTATGAAAGTTGAGAAAGTTGAGTTCTTGCTCCGTTTGCGTCGGTATAATTTATCTCCTGCTTCGAAGACGCAGAAAAGACTTAAATTATTCTTTCAAAATTCGAAATAAGTGCAACGCGACTAAAATAAAATAGAAATATTACGACAAAGAAGAAGAATGTGTGTAAAATATAAGACATATATTAATGTTTCCTCTTTTTAATCACCAGACACACAGATTATATTTGTAATCATATATTATAAGAGATTATTCCGGTAAGTTCGTATTTTTCGGTACGTCCCGATTATTTTCTGCTCCAACTAATCGCGTGGTCAGATCGGCGATCCTTTTCAACCAGCGCTCTCTGGTTTGACCCAGACCGCTTTCCGGCGAGCGCGGTGCATTACATTTTTCGACCTTGCGCGCGTGCTACAAAAACGTATGTGGCGACGAGCGCATTAATTTACGTTCACTGGCCTCACGTCGCGGATTTTCAATCGCTCCAGTTACTGCGATCGGCCGACAAAGCGTACGACTCGCGTGAGCAATTGGCACGTTCGTTAAAGCAAATCAAGCGGCGTGTCGCGTTTCGCGATACCGCACCGTCGACAAATCTCCGCCGCATTCTTCTTCGTGAAACGCACGGAGTAAATCACGTAAAGAAAAATAATAATAATACCAATTTTTCTTTTTTTACGACAACACTGATTGAACTTTTTTTTTCAAATTTTATAGGTATGTGAGTGTATGATCTTCGTCTTATGAGCGCCAGAAGATCTTTATCTAAGAAATATAAACGATCAGTTGAGATTCAGTGCCGAACTCGAGGCCCGATATAGCAGACGAAATTAATGATCGCAAACTGGCGAGTGAATCAAGGACATATACATATGCACACATACATATATCTCTAATTACATTCCTTGGCGCGCTATAAAATGTAGGACACTTCGGCGTCTCGTATTTCGATTTTATCTCACGTGGTTTAAATTGATGTCACGTGAAATCGAAAACGGAGAGGATACCGGGGCCGTCATCTGCATGTCAACAGCATTGAGTTATGTCAGCGACAGCTTTATATTTCACTTCCTTCAGCGCGCGTTTACTGTCGTACATCGTTAAGAATTACCGTGCGGCTTAGATAAGTGATGATGAGAATAATCAAGATTAATGCGATCTAAAATAGAGAGGAATTTTCGAGCTCCTCTACGGGAGGGAGCGTTACTAATCGTTACTTCTGCCATCGGTCTAAAATCGAGATAATGAAATAAGACAGACACATAAAATTCAAGATGTGTATACATAATTATAAATATTATAATATTATATAAATACACAAGAAAATATATTAAATAGCAAATGCAAAACGTGCAGCATAATTTTCAATAAAATTTCCAAGATATTTTTTTAGCCACTCGAGAAATAAAACAATCGTATTACTGTCCGTCTTCTCGAGCGGTCGCTTCTCCGTAATTGCGCGAGCGCGCGATCGGAAGGCCGATTCATTCTTCTCATTCATTCCGGTTTCGTTGCAGCTCCGGACCGAGCAGCGCAAGGATCAAGCCTGATGTCCGTATGGTCGACCAGCACCGGGCGCAATTCACTGTTTGGCGCGGAGAGCGGCGGAGCGGTGCTCCCCACTTCGCACTTGCCGACCCACGTACACGTGGCGCACGAACACCTGCGCAACGCTGACGGCCACTGCTTTCACAAGCCGTTCCACGATTACTGTCAGGTCGGTAGACTTGCCCCCCAGCTGATCCTTTTCCACGGCAGCAGAACTCCTTTCCTCCTCATCCGCACCGCGCCCGCACATCGCACATATCGCACGCGTATCTTCCCCGTCGCCGGTTTTCGTTCTGTACTGCCGCCGCATGCCGCTTCGATATCTCGCGCGCGCGTCGCTTTCCATTGTGTCATTATTATTCTCGTTCCCGGTACTTACTTCGTCGTTGATTTGAGTTAATTGATGTTTTTTTATTTTATTGATTGCCGAGAAGATCGCAGGAACGTTAAAGATTACGTAGTTCTCTTGATGGCTGAGAAACGATCTGTTGTTAGCGTATTGAAATGTTGTGTTTTAAAAGTATAATGATATTTGTACGAGATATAAATATTTCCGATATAAATTGTGAATGGCTGCGTTGCAACATTCAGATAAAAAATTGTCTACTTCTGTATAGCGAATATATGAAATATTTAACATTTTAAAAATAAATAATTACATTTATTTATTTATTTATCTTTTCAAGTTGTATTTTTTTTTTATTACAATGCTAGACTGAGAAACGTATTAACATATGTAAAAGTAGAGTTCTCTTGATTTAGAATTTGTTTTTTATTACATATAGATTGGATTGAACAAATCGATAATTAAAGAGATGAATTAAATAACTATTAAGTATGTTAATTTTTTAAATTAGTGAACCAGTTGCGATAAAAACACTCAATTATTTTTTTTATCATTACTCCACAAAATAACGTCTAAATCACCCGTAAGCTTTCACCAAATCTAATTGTTGCGTAATTGCAGAAATAAGAGTAGAGAGTAATTGAGATTTTTTTAAATACATATATGTATATTTAAATACATAATGTATATTTTACACTTTTTTAAATCTTATTCCTCTATCAGAGGATTCCAATATGTTAGGGAGAAATTGAGAAGTGTTTGACAGTAAGATTGTGACTGTAAAAATATAAATTAGATTTTTGATTCTAGCGTACTTTTTCATTGCGCCTGTAATAATAGATCTGTTTTCTTCGTAGTCACAATATTGCCTTTAAACGCCGCTTTAAAACAGGAATTAAGAACGATATAAACAATATCGATTTTATAACTGAAAATCTATTGATATAAATATTGATGTAATTAATTAATTTATATACGTTATTTCTTTCTTGTAATGTACGTCTTTCTTGTAAAATGTACGTCAAGTACATTAAAAAAATTGATTTGTTTGATTGGTATTGAAAATAATACTGAAGTTAGTATATTGCCGAGAAATTATATTATACATATATCAGTACTACAAATATTTTTATCGGCATTTGATATCTAATACTGGTATAATTAAAGGCTTCCGGCGTTGTGGTTTTATAATAACAGAGCTATTGCCGACACCGGTATACAATTGCTAGCGAAACTATTTCGGTATTTCCAGATCTTACTTTAAAATAATACTGCGCATTACATCGAACTCGATCATACGGTTAGTCGATTGAGCATCGATGCAATACCGTCAATTTCTGCTTTAATTGCGTTTAATCTCGTTTAACGAGCGACAAATGCATTTTTAACGAGCGAGATGCCTTTTTAAAATTTTCTCCACTTATCGATTATACGTTATATTTTTTCGAACATCGCGGTTATATCTGACTTTGAGCGCGTAATTAGTCGCATATTCTTCAACTCTTCACTCTGCATGTGTGTTACGTACGTATTGATAATTATCCGGATGTCGTTCGTAACGATAACGTCGTAATATACCGTACTTCCTATTTTTTTTTTCTTATTTGCATGCCGCAGAGATCGAGTCGCCGAGTCGCCTTTATACTCGCAATTCACGGCAAAGTGGTTTTATTGAAAACAAAATATTTCCAATATCACTGAGATACACCCCCGTACGTTCGACTGTATGATGTAGATTGTAGACTTTAAATCATGTTAGTTAAACTAATCTTTGTTACGATAAGAAAATTTATGTGCATTTATTTCTTTGAGTGTGCCGCATGTTTGATTGCTGTGAGCTTATTGCGATACTATTAGGTAAACATACGTATCTACAAATATGACGCAAGGTACGCGACTTTCTCATCATATACGCAACCTCTTGTTTTTATTTATTGATATACCTAACGTATGCCTCGTCGTGTACGCCGACCACGCGTTTGTAATCACTTGTTCATTGTTTACGAGAAAAAAAACAGACTTGATGGAAGAAACGTGAATAATCCGTACAAGTCGGGCCGATGCAACTCGCGAGTAAGCGCGAATGCTCGAAAGTGCTGCCTGTGTACATTCATCAAGTTGTCGAAATACGCAGATTAACACATTGAGTATATCTCTTTCTTAGCTGTAAAAACAAACAAAAGACTGGCATCGTGTGACAAACGTGTTTCTTTCTCGCTCGCCAGTCACTATCTTCACCACGTATTCAAACTGACTCAATGGTAACATCTCGTGGATAGAAAAAGACAACTTATTTAATTATTGTCATCTTCACGTTCGTATCGTGTTGATATTTATTTATTATTATTGTTTAAATCGTCAGACTTACGAGAATACAGATCACACGAACGCCAAGAACCGAGAATATCTCGAGAGCGAACATTTCGCACATCTTGTGGCAAGATGCTTGTAAGTGTCGCGATATTTTGCAGTGGGAACACATCGTTCAGATTATTTTCTATCTCGCGTTACGTACGCTTTTTTCGCGACTTTTGCATCATCTTCTATTTAACGTGCTTGCGATCTCGTTAACTTTGGCCCCTGTCCAAACCGGAAACCTCAACCGCGCGAAGATCGGCGACCGCGAATCGAATCGAGTAACATCTTTCCGGCGTATGTATGAAACATTACAGCGAAACGGCGCGAGTCACGATGTAAAGTCCCTCGTGCATGCATCAGCGCAAGTACCCCCCCGAAACGCACGTGATGTCTTCATGTATGTGTACGCATGTTCATGCATGTAGCGTTAAGCGTATATGTACGTATTTCTTCTTCCTCGCCAGACCTCCCGCAAGACGCACGGCAGTCGATCCTGTCGATCTCGTCATAACGTATCAGCCGCCGCACGTCTCTACGTTTTTCATTAATTTTCCTTATTATTTGTTTCGTTCAGCACCCATTGGTTTTTTGTCCTACTACTGCGGGACTTTTGGCAAGTTCTCCCCCGTTGGCACCGACGTTGCCATCGATCTTCCGGTACGTGCCTCTCTTTCTTACTCGTGCTTAAGCTTCCACGTTGAGTTTACCTTCTCTCTTCCCTCCCTCCCTGTGAGATCGCAAGATCAAGTGTCGCAAGTGTGCTTTAGTATCCCTTTCTCCCTTCCTCTCCCGTCCCTCGGTGAGACAATGAGAACGCGAGATCGCGGCCCTTCCGTCCGACCCGAACTAATTTGCCATCTCCACGTTCGTTTTGTTCGCCACAGTCGACGATGTCGCAAGCGGGGGATGGTCTTCACACGCCGAGCTACTTGTCTTGGAGGAAACTGCAGCTGAGCCGCGCGAAGCTCAAGGCGTCCAGTAAAACGTCGGCCTTGCTCTCCGGTTTCGCTATGGTAAGAGAACGTCGCTCGCAAAAGCGTATCGGACCTTCATTTAGACCGTTTCCAACAGCGACAAGTTTTTATCGCGAACTCTGCGTTCACAGATCGACGCGCGTCCGCATCCTCCGCGATTAACTGATCGAGATAACTGTAATAGAGTCTATCGTTTGGTTTTGTAACCATTACACGGAAATGAAAAAAAATCCCCTGTGAACTGAAGAGCATAATTCCGGAAGCGATTTGTATTGTTTTCGGATTAAACGAGCTCACGCGAATACTTATCTCAATCGAATATCGCGCAAATAAAAGGTATTTACGCGCGCATATAAAATTGCAATACTCATTTTAATATTAAGTATTATTTAACATTAAATATTATCAAAATATAGATATTTATTTAAATATTTTTGGAAAGCAACTCGCAGTTTTGTGTCATACTTTTTCAATAAGTTTCACTTCTTTCCCATCGTACGCGGCGAGTTTGCGGAATCTAAATGCGTATTTAACGGAAAAAATTAGCATTTGTTGATGATAATTCTCGTTTCTCGATGACGTGTACGTCGAATGATAAATGCGTCGAGGTAATTCCCGAGACTGGATTAAGGATCTATTATACTGTTCGCAGGTCGCCATGGTGGAGGTACAGCTGAATGCCGACACATGCGTTCCACCGGAGATGCTGATCGCCTTCGCCGTGTGCACGACCTTGCTCGTCGCCGTACACATGCTGGCGCTGATGATATCCACGTGTATACTGCCGAACATCGAGGCCGTCTGCAATCTCCATAGCATAAGCCTTGTGCACGAGTCACCGCACGAGCGTCTACACTGGTACATCGAGATCGCGTGGGCATTCTCCACTTTGCTGGGCCTCCTTCTGTTCCTGTTGGAGATCGCGATACTCTGCTGGGTGAAGTTCTATGACATCTCGAAGGTTGCCGCCTGGTCGGCCTGCATAGTGCTGATACCGGTGCTGATAATATTTCTCGCCTTTGCGATACACTTCTATCGAAGTCTGGTCGCGCATAAGTACGAGGTCACGGTGTCCGGCATACGGGAGCTCGAGTTACTCAAGGAGCAGATCGAGTCCACGGACGTGGAGGGTAGAAACGGCGTGAATCTCTTGCAGACCCCGGTAACGCATATCGTTTGAATCGGTCTTCGGAATTTTCCCTGCCGCCGGAATTGGACTCGTGAATCGAGCGCGACAAGAATTTCCGCTCCGCGGAACGCGGCGAGAGAGAGAGAGAGAGGGAGAGAGAGATCTTTTATATGACGATGTGCTGCGATGAGTGTTGGCAACGTTTCTTGGAGGCCTCTGCCAGAAAAGGGAGTCTTTCGAGCGTGAGCCATTCGAAGAACATGACAGACAGCCGTTTTCTTCATACATATTGGCGCATATGCGCTACAGATGTTATGAAGATTCGGTCAACAGATAAGATCTTCCTTTTTTTTTATACGCGTGTTCTCTGTGATGTAAATTAGTATAAGCGCGATGAGACTTCGTTCGTCTGCACGATGCGCGCGTTACGAAAGCATCGTGTCGATTTTGGAAGGTAACGAAGTTCGATAACATCGTTATATATGTAGGCACAAAATACATTCCTTCATTCGCGTTGCGACTTAAAACGTAGAGAGAATAATATGTTTTAGGGATAATGTGAGATTCGCGTGTCATCGCCGTGTACACTGACCGGCAGGAATGCCTGGACATTTTGATATGTATATGATATATATGTACATGCATATGTATATGTATTATGTCCAGGCATTCCTGCCGGTAAAGCGTACAAAAGGCGATAATACAATAGCCTGAATTGTCGAGAACTGATTAATTGTGCGATTAATTGTGTACTCGAATGTACTTATCTTTTGAAAAATGCATGTTTATCCAAGAAACGCGATCGACTTTTATATTTCTTAAATATTTTGGCGTTATGACGTCAGACATGTATCGATAACGCGTTCTGTCACAAAAATTTTCCATCGCTGACACGAAAGTCGATATCTTTCTTAAATAGAGATCTAACTCGCAGTGACAGCAATTTCCCTTATCATTTTTCAACGCGCAAGTACATAACTCTCAAATACACGTGTTACGACTGCCGTAAAAATAAGGAACGATATGTCAGCAAGCGGCGAGACTCGGATGTACGCGACATCGCTTGAAATATTACAAAAATGATCGCGAATGAAAGTCGGGAACGTGTATGTCTTATTATTTGTATCCTGGTAAAAAAAAATTCTTATATTTTTTCAGAAATTTTCTAAAAATTTCTCATATTTTAGATTTATGAAAAATTTTGAAATAAATATGTCAAATTTTTCAAATACTTTCAGAAATAACCGAATGAGAATTTTTGGAATATTTCAGTATCTGTTTGTATGAAAATTTCCAATAAATTGCGTGAATTTCTCATATTCAGAAAAAATCTGAAATATTGCATTATTATTTTTATTTCATTATTTTGTCTGAGTTGTTTTAAAAAACATTCCAATTTGTATAAAAATTCTGAGAAAGTCTTAAAATTTTTATAGAAATGTGATTAATAATATGAAAAATTCATTTTTCCACCAGGGTACGTACCGTTTGGCGTGCAAAACGCGCTGATCGGAGTGATTGCCAAAATAAAAAGTCGTACGTACGAAGTTCGCCGCGAACGCGGAAAAGACTAGTGAAACATGAAACATGTATGTTCAAATCGATCTAGAGAAAACGTAAACGAGACGACGTGACGCAATATGATTATAAGTGTATCGCTGCTTGACCGTTTATCCTTGAAATGTATAATGTCGGATGTAAAGCTGGCGGTCGGCAGTCGACGTCCTCTATCGTGCTGTTCACGCAGACGTCATTCTCCCAACGACCCTCTTGCACTTGACGTCTGTCTAGGTGGTAGAAAACACCCCGACTTTCCTTCTTGCCATTTGTAAACTGACCCTCGTAAAGATTACCGTTTTCTATGAGGATTTTAAGATAAATATTTATGGGAATTTCTAAGTAGTACATAGCGCTTTGAACGAGGGACGGCGTGATTCCGAGTTCACAATGTTCGCGAGCGCCGAATACGAGAATAAAATCAAACACAAAGCGGGCGCTAAGGAAGATGTATCACCTTTTGTTCTATGTAATACGTAATTAAAAAGAAATTGATAAACATAGTCGTAAATTCTAGACATATATGTATATGTATACTCTCTTTTTTTAATTAATAATACTTGCAACCTTGAATAAGTATCCCTTCTCCATGATAACGATCGTTTAACCACGTGCCCTGGTAATATCCGCTGCCACACTTGTACCAAATCCGGCCGTAACCGTCCCTCTTGTTCTCCCGAAACGTGCCTTCGTAATAGCTGCCGTCCTTGTACCAATTGCTTCCAAATCCATGCTTCTTTCCCCTCGCCCAGTCGCCGGCGTACATTTTGCGCACCTCACCGTCTTCAGTAATTTTACTGAGGACGCCGTAGCCATGTCTCAGGTCGTTATACCAGTCGCCTTCGTACATCCAGCCGTAGCTGCGAAGGAACAATTCCTAACGAAATAGTGAACGAAATATCGCCAGCTTAGATGTACATGATCTCGCGGTCTCTAACGAGAAATTATGTATATAATATAGCATATATTCGATTATGATTTCAGAATTATATTAAATTGATACGCAAAGCAGGTATTCTATCCTGTTATACAAATAATTGTTGTTACATATTTAGCGAAAGAAGATCCTCATAATAGGGAAATTACAAATAGAACAATTTCTTTGACGCTCAGATTGTGTATCAATATTGTAAAATTTATAATTCTTGTTAATATCTTTTTTTATTCCTTATATTAATTGATATAATTAAAACATAGATATGCACTGCTCAATATTTTCATATAAAGGAGTGCAACACTTACATTCTATAAAAAAGATATAGAGAAAAAAATATCACGGTTATTGTTGTATTAAAAATAATAATTTTTATACGCGCGTTTTGCTGTATGTGTAGAGATATTTGGTAAAGCGAAATTGAGATTATTGGGCTTAAATGGACGATAAACTTTGAGGGAACATAATTTTCATAACACCTGTTGACTCCTATGCCTTTGCCCTCTCTCTTATCGTTTCTCCATTCGCCCTTATAGTGCGCTTTGGCGATACGTTTCGTCTCGGGGAAATATATAGCGTGGCGCCAGCCATTTCGCTTGCAAACCTCTGCTCGCCGTTCGCACCACGTGGTTCGCTGCGGCTTCAAGAATGGCATCGCGCCGAATATTCGTGAAGAAAACTTCTCAATTTGTCATTCCGCGAGCGATCAACAATCTTCACAGATCGAGATAAAAACTGCGTAATAATTCACGCCGTACGATGCGTTATAGTGTGTGTAAGAAGAAAACAATTGCATTTTATTTTGTAAAATATATTTGGTAAAATACTCGAAAAAACTTTAAATTTTCCTCCGTGCTTATTCGATATACGCTTTGTTATATTTTTTAAATTTTATTTTACGTATTTAAAACTATGTACTTCGCGTGCGTCACTGAAAATGTCTCAATATACGGATTAGAATTTAAGGACTCTTTGTATTTGTTATCTTGAATTTTCGTTTTGATTCCATTTTCGTATTCGAAAGTCCCAAAACCCTTTAAAAATAATTATATATTTGGTATATTTTCTAAAAAAAAAAAATTGGACGTAAAAAAGTTAACTTAATTGGTGGCGTTGGTAAAAGATTAGATGTTACTTCTCAGACAACACGCATGTCTAAAAGACATCTTCTCTTTTAATTTTATTTTGCACTTTCTTATTAGTTAGATTAATTACACAGGCCAACAAAAAAAATTTTTGTCAAGTGTTTTGTATAGATTTTCGGTTACAAAAACCAATACCGCATTCCAAATTGTTCAATCACGTCAGATCTTAAAATTATTTCGATTTTTTTAAATGAGAAATCAGCAATTTATAGGGAAAAAATTTATAATAAATCACTAATCGTCAATAAAGTAAAAATGGATAAATGTTTGATTTATATATATGATGTGTATTGCGGCAACAAATCTGCAATTAAACATGCGTGTGTTGGCTGTCTTGTATTTATCGCTCTGGCATCGCCATTCAAGGTAAGAATTCATAAATTATTGTAAACATTATAAAATTGACACAACGTTTTATTGTTATGATTGAAAGTATACGTACGTAGTAATGTAACAGATATTATTTTGCGCGTATAATAATATAATTAATATATTTTTGTCAATAAGGAGCTCCATCTCCGCGTATCGTCGGCGGTAAAGATGCTCCCATTGGCAAATTTTCGTGTCAAATTTCAATGAAATATTACGTCTCGCATAGATGCGGTGGATCTATCATCAATAATAGTACTATATTAACCGCAGCACATTTTGTGTCGCAGTATGTTACATATTTTGAACATATGTCAATCTGACAATATCTTATTATAGTGAAATATAACTCCGAAAATTTCATCGGCACAAGTTATATTTTCAAATGCAACACGTAAAATACATTTTCTTACATTCGCGGGTGCAACTATTGATTCCGGTGCAACATAACAATGAGACGTTTTCGGCACTCTGGACGGCAATCCGACCCTCACATGCAACATATGTTAGAACAACTTTATGCAAATCTTGCAAGATTATTTGCTAATACAGTAAATTAATTCCGTATAAATAACTGTTTTAAGGGTCGACACTGACAACACCTATCGGGTAAAGAGGAATTTGTAATGTTTTGTCCTGACCAGGCTTTGCCGTGCTCGTTATGTTCATATTTGTGAGTTCCTGTAACATACAATGCGTTTTATTAAAATTTATAAACAAAAAAAAATTTTTTTTTTTTCTAAAAATATATGATATTTTATCATAGGCCGTACAAATATTTATATATTTTACATTGCAGAAAAGAATATAAAAGTTGTGCACATAGCGCATTTCATTAATTAGATTTAAATTAAGAAATTTAATTAAATTTTTAGATTTTAATTAAAAAATATTTGTGCAAGAAATCCCTATCGTCTCTGTCGGTCGTAATAATCAAATAAATTTTTATAGATCGGACAAAAATAAAAAATTTTAAGCACATTTATTACTATAATCGTTATCGTTCAATTTTTACGAACTTGCGCGAATTTCATAAAGGGTCTATTGAAATGAGGCGTGAATAAAATGTATTTGTGCCTTACTTTTATCTCTTTTCCTTAATATTATCATGAATTACTCATTATAATGTTTCTATACAAATTGTAGTACTGGTCAGTGATTAATTTCACATGGAATATTCAGTTCAGTACTTGAGTATTAATATTAAAATACTGGCCAGTGATTTATTACACATGGAATCCTTGGTTCAGTACTTCAATACTAACATTGAAATACTCATCAGTAATTCAACACAAGTATTTATTACACAAGTATTTTTCACCTAGTATTAAATGCTTTCTCATCAGAAATTTAATACTAAGTATTCAATACTTGTCCTGTATTAAATACTACTTTCATAAATTACTGACCAGTAATAAAATACTATGCAATACTTGGATCACAGTGATTCAAGTACTAATAAATACTTAATTTTAGTATTATTAATACACAAAATAAGTATTTATTACTAACCAGCTAGTAATACTTTTTTGTAAGGGTTTAAAGAATTAAAAGATATATTATTTAATATGTTTATTAGAATGCCATTTTGTTTTACAAGATTTATAATTTAATTACTAATATAATTTGAGCAAATTATTTCTGCAAAATTTATCTAAATCGAAATTATCTTCTCTTTAAAATCTGACTTTTACGTATCACATGCATGTAATATTGCATACACACACACACACACATATATATATATCGCACTAATGCGCATGCGCGGGACTGGTTACTGTCCGCTAAGCACCAATCCAATTAGTGCTCCGGCAACACACGTCCGACTCCGACTCCATTCCACAACGTATACGACGGAAAATACGGAAACTTGCGTGTTGCGTGTTGCGTGCGTCTAAACGCTGACGGTCCGCATCTCGTGAATCTCGTCCCGGAATACGGAAATCGAGCGCGAAAATCTCGGATCCACGCTGCGTCTACGATGGACAGCGACGTCCGCGTGATTGACGTGAGTATGGACATGGATACGGTTCCCTTGGACCCGTCGATCGAGATTATCGACAACCTGGAGCCGGAGGTGATCGAGCTGGACAGCAGTTGCGACACGGTGGCCACCACCTATGCCGACTCCAAAAGTCCGGTTTACGACTCTGCCGAACGCGTCCCGTCCCCGGACTGCGAGAGGCTCGAGACGTTGATTCGGCATCGGAGAGATACGCAATCGGTTCGGTCGAACGACGTCGATGCGCTACCCGTCTTTAAGGTTATGTTTCGCGACGAGAGTGTCTCGAGGTACGTCCTGTATACGCTACGCTGTGCGTTTCGCTTTGTTTACAACGCGCGCGCGAGAATTCGTTCCGCTTGCTTTTACAAGGATGTCGTATCGTGACGTGAGACGAAAGTGACGTTTTTGACGTATAGCAATGCGAACGGTTTTATAAATAACCACTTTCCTGCATTTTGAGGAAAAAAAAACATGCGAATTATATCATGTATCTATTGGTACAACAATCATTAGTGTAAAAAATATAATTTATTTAATTTGCACATTAAATAATATTTTATCGTGTGACTGCTACGTAGGTCGTTACAAATTTTCTTTTAAACGTGTGTGAATTAAATATTTTTGACGTGCAGGAAGGTAAATAAGAATTTTTTTGTTATCCAAGAAAAAAGAACGCGCAGTTTAAATCATGCATACACACACAACAAATGTTACAACAAATTTAATTTATTTAATTTAGACACAAAATATTAAATGTGTGTGAATTAAATATAATAAATATAATTTATATAATGATTTTA